CCCCCCCCCCCATATTCCCACTTGCTCCCCTCGCACCAAATGGGAGCTGCCCAGGTAAGTGCCCCACACCCAAACCTCCTGCCCCAATCCTGAGCCCCCTCCCTCATTCTAGCTCCTGGCCAGACCCTTCACCCCCAGCCCTGTGCTCAGTGCACTCCCACCCTCAGCTCAGTGCAGAGAGAGGAAGAGAATGGGCTAGAACCAGGGGGAAGGTAGGTACCCACTGTATGTGGACAGGGCCGGGACCCCAGATCAGCAGCGGGCTGAGCGGGTCCGGCAGCCGGGATCCCGGCTGGCAGGAGCCGGCAGATGGAACACCTGAGCGGCAGTGGGCTGAGCTGGGGTCCCGGCCGCCGGCCCCGCTCAGCCCGCTGCTGGCCTGGGGTGAACAGAACCCCAGACCAGCAGCGGGCTGAGTGGGCCGGTGGCGTAAGGTCAACATTTTAATTTAATTTAAATGAAGCTTCTTAAACATTTTGAAGACCTTGTTTATTTTACATTACAACAATAGTTTAGTTATATAATGTAGACTTATAGAGAGAGACCTTCTAAAAAACATTAAAATGTATTACTGGCACGCGAAACCTTAAATTAAAGTGAATAAATGAAGACTCAGCACACCACTTCTGAAAGGTTGCCGACCCCTGTTCTAGCATGTCTCCATTGGGGATTTGCATTTGCCCTGCCCCCAAGTATAGACAGAGCCTCTGCTTCAGCGTATCCCTAAAATCACCTCATTACTTTTTTTATCTTTATAGCTCCATTATACAAGGGCCTTGCTGGAGCCCACCTGGGACAGTGTATCCCACAGAGAGGAAACTTTGTCTAGGGGTGCAGTTTGAGCAGCAGAGACTCTGGAGAAACCAAGTGCTGAGGGAAGGTGCAGGAGGCTGGACTCCTACCCAAAGGGGAGTCTGAGGGACCAAACAGGCATTTTCAGATGTCAAATGATAGAGCATGTCCCTGCCCTCCAGTCATCTGCTCAAATCCAGGAACTGAAACTAAGAGGAAACAGGAAGAAGAGGAAAAGACGGGTTCCCTATACAAAGGGGAATATATGTGGGGACCAATCTACCCAGGAAGAGAATTGAAGGACAGAGGATATATGAGTTTGAGAGGCCATGATTTCCTCCAGAAGGGGACAAGGACTCTGAGGGATGAGCTGTGGGTCTTGCATTTTCTCTCAGAACTCAGCTTTTCCTCCTTCCTTTCAGAGATTGGCCAGCCAGGCTGAAACTGCTCAGCGATGACAGGGCAAAGGTTTCTGCTTCATGGGACGCTTGCCTTGTTTCTGCTCAGCATTCCCTGTGAAGCCCAGGAGCTACAAGTGGGCAAGGCCACCACCGGTGCCAGTCCTCTGTGTGAGAAAGAGGCCAAGTCCTGGGGAACTCTGTTCAGTGGGGAGCGACTAGATGCTTGGATCTTTTCTCTGATTGGCTCAGTTATGGTGGGGCTGAGTGGAGTCTTCCCCCTGCTGGTAGTTCCCCTGGAGACAGGAGCTGCTCTGCGATCAGAAGGTAAATCTGCTCTCTGGCTTATTGTTCCTGATGCCAGTGCCCCCTCATAGGCAGTGACTGAATGGGGCAATGTTCTTATGTCTGACACAGGAACTGGGATCTTCCTGGTGTCCTAGAAATGCTGCCTACTGAAATGCAGGCACAACTCACTTCTGTTATAAGATGGGTGACTCGTGCCATTCCTAAAAATGGGGCAGGTAGTCCCCCAGCTGAGTGTGGGGTTCTGGAACTTCAGGTGTAGAGCTCATACAAAGAGCATTCTCTAACTTGGATCCTGGGGGGGATGCTCACATGCTCCTCCACTTCCCTGGAGTACAGACTCCTCTCACCTAGGCCCCTTGAATGTACAGTTCATGCTCTGAGCCTCACTGCCAGGGCACAAGGTTCTGAGGCACAGTGCCACCCACAGCTCTCTCAGGGCGGTGCAGTGCCCTGAGGTCTGTCTCACACACAGTTCCTTTCCCTCCTCACGTTCCCTGGTAATTCAGGCTGCAATGGCTCCTGATTTTGGTGTCTCACACAACTTGTCAGGAGGAGTCTGGGCTCCAGGCCTGGGCTGTGATTGGCATTTGTTTGTTTTTCAGTGGGATCCAATCGTTTGAAGCAGCTGTTGAGTTTTGCAATTGGTGGGCTTCTGGGGAATGTATTTCTCCACCTCCTCCCTGAGGCTTGGGCCTACACCTGCAGCGCCACTGCAGGTAATACCTGGCACTGTACTAATGTCCTGAGCACCAGAGCCATCCCCAGGCACTGGCTGCTATGTTTTCTTGTGAATCTGCACCATGCTGCTTTTCTTAATGTTCCATCTCTCTATGTAGGGGCCTGGTGGGCTCTGGGGGGCCTTTGCCTTTCTCCTGGAGTCTCTGTGAATCAAGGGTTCCTTGACTCTGTGAATCACTCCCCCTCCATTCCCTACCTTGGTACAACAGAGCCCAGATCTGCTGACCTCCCAGGCTGTGCCTGAGGAGAAGTGGTGGAAATTGAAAGTCCCTAGAGTTCTTGGGTGGGGAGGAAAGAAAGGTGCAGCTGGCAGAGTCCCAACTCAGCCAGCAAACTGAGCACCAGGGCTGAGATGGCCCTGGTCTGCTCTGGGATAAAGCTTGGGAAACAACTAGCATAGCCCCTTCCTGTAGCTGTTTTCTAAAGGGCCCATGGAGACAAGTAATAAGTTATGTTTGCACTTGGGCAAACTACTGTCATGAGAAGCTGAGTGCTGCTGAACCCTATAGGTGGTAGCTGCTCAGTAAGAGAGATTCTTCCTGACTCTTCTGGGAACAGTACTGCAGGGGGCCAGATTTCTGTCACAGCATCTCCCACCAAGGGCTGGATTCCCACTGATCTCTGCCTAAGGAATTGTGGAATCCTTTCCTTCCTGAGAATGTAGGAGATAGAGGAACAGCCTGGATTTCCCATAATTTGTTATGTGGATCTAATCAGTGGAAATTCAGAATCCCTCTCAAAGCTCTGCTTCTCTCCTGGTCCTTTCCATCTTCACTGCACAGGCAGGGTCAGCACAGTCCAGTGCCTTGGGCCTCCAATGACTGCACCTTCTCTGCTGCAGCTTATTCACTTCTCTTATTAGTCTTTTCTCTTGTCTTAAGCTTCCAGGTTTGCATGTCGCACCTGTGTCACATTTCTAATGCTTTTGCCTGTCCTGTTGCTGGAGCACAGTCTTTGCCCCTGCAGTCAGGCCAAACAGATGAGGATCTGATAATCTCAGCCCTAATTGAAAGGAACGTGTTGTAGCCTTGGGCTAATAACTTGCCCGGGTGTGGTGTGATGGGGAAGATAGGTATTTGGCTCAGCTTCCCAAAGCACAACCTTCATGTCTGTACTTGCTACTCACACAGGCTCAGATGCAGGATTTGTGCTGATACAAGCTTCTTTGTAGCCTCTGGTAAGCGATTTTTGCCTTGCTCACCTTTGCACAGTAATTTATGGAAGAGATGCTTAGGAGCTGGGCTTAGAAGGCTCTTGAGAGTACCCAGGAGACAGGCTAGACTCCATTGCTGGAGTATTGGGGATGTGCAGCCTAGTTTCCCACTTGCCCTAGGTTGGATCAAGGATAAGTAGATGAAACAAATGGGGTTTTCTGCAGGGTGTCTGTTCTGTGCTTCTCATAGGACTAAAGGAAATGCTTTCTGCCCTATATTCTTGTCTTGAGTCCCTCAGTCACAAGCTACATTGTACTGGGGGTGAGGCTTACCATTCAGGCACCCCAACAATGCAAACAGAGATCTTTTTTGCTTTCTAGGAGGTGGGCAGAGCTTGCAGCAGCAAAAGCTTCTTGGCCTCTGGGTGATCATTGGCTTCCTGACCTTCCTGGCATTGGAGAAGATGTTCCTAGAGAGTGAGAAGCAAGAGTGGCCCAATGCGGTGAGTGGGTGATAAAGAGGGAAAGGAGTTGCCATACAAATACTGCACTGTAACCGGGTACACACTGTGCCCCTCTGGATTTGGCCCCTTGGTTCCTCTCCTCTGTGAATCGGGGACACTTCAATCTGGTGCAACACCCATGTTCTTTATCTGTGATCAGTTTCCCACGACCAGTTTCCAACTATATACAGGCTTTACAGCTACTTGGCCTACCACAGGCCTGGCCAGCAACAGACTCCCCTCTGAGCCTGACCTTCCTCTCTTAGTCTCTGCCCCCCCTTTCTCTCACTTCCTTCCAGCCTTATAGCTCCTGCTAATGAGGCTGGCAGGTGTGGTCAGTTACCAGGCAAACATAGGGTGGTTCACCCAGCCCCAATCCATTCTCCCTGATTGGGGCTGGAGTGGCAGGAGCTGATTAAGGGCTTCTCCAGCAGTACCCTGCCACATGCACTAAGTCCTATTACCCTCCCCTCCTGGTAGGCTCCTCAGGGGAACCTGGGAGCTGTGATTTAACTCAAAGCCTGTTTTGGGAGGCCAGCAGTGCTGGGCAGAGCCATGTGTCTGGGCACTTGCTCCATTCTTCTGGACCTGGGAAAGGAGACCTTTCATCTCCAGGCTAAGCTCTTGCCCTGTGGGCTTGGCTGGGATTTCTTGTCCCTGGGTTTTGGATTTTTTAAATTAAATCAGATTTATTTTGTTGTTTAAATTATATTTTTTTCTTTTTAAAAATAAACCTGTTTAAAAAGAAATCTGAATGATATGTTAAGGCTTAAACTTATAGTCGCTTTAAAATATTTTAAATAAAAAATAAATATGCTGAATCCAAGAGTCTATATCAAAAACTTTGAGTTAAAAGCTGCTTTTTTCTATAAAGAAAGAATCGGGGGAAACATGTAACTTTTGAGGTCAAGCTTTATAACTATGGCACAACAGTAGTAAATAAGCAATACATTCACCATTTTCTAATATAGTAATTATGTACAATGAATAAGAATCTGAAAATATTATGTTGTTGCTTAAATAAATGTGTATAGTTATAATATACCCTCCTAGCTAGCAAAAAAAAAAAAATCTAGTGTAAAGGCTCTATTTAGTTGTAAATCACCATGTTTTAATGGTTATGTCAACCAATGAAAATGCACCTTTCTTTAGAAAATAACTGAAGTACAAATGGAAATGTTGATTAAAATAGATTATTTAAATTGAGGCTTTCCTCTTGGTGATTGATTTAAATCCACCATAGTTAGAAGAAGAGGTTCCCTGCTATGTCCCTGGGGTAGTGGGAATTATCCTCACCACCACTCTGGGCCCTTGGTCCATGGAATTGGCTGGTCGCAATGGAAGGGTCTTGTGATTGGCCACTTTATGTGACATAGTGGATGAGGCAGGAGTCACCTAGCAACAAAGGATAAATGGTCACTCACAAAGGGATAAGAGGTCAGCTCCAAAACTATGCAAATGGAGCATAAAGTGGCCAGCCCTTGGGAATCTGCAGACTTTCTGGGTGGCATCTGAACTGTGCTGGGCTCTTGTTGATCCCATGCCTCTAGGTAAGAGAAAATGAGACCACACACTGAAAAGAGTTTGCAAAGAACAGCTAAATGTGACCTGTAAACCTAAGTGAGTGTGTGGAGCTGATAGACCTATCCCAGCCCTGTCTCCTAACCTTCTCCCTATTATGTGATACTGTGGGGTTTGATGTCCCCCATTCCATGATATACAACGTGGTTGTAGAGTCCCATTATATTCTTTACACTGAGGACCAAATGTTACTTTTTTGATCCCTGGTCCAGTGCACTTTAGCAAACTTCACTGCTCCTGAAGAATTTGTATTGGGTTTAGTGTTTCTAGCCCCAGCAGGAGATTTGACATTAAAATAATGTCTTTCAGATTCCTTTCTTGCTTCAACAAGTGCAGGTCAATTTTTAGCTCAGCTACTTAAATATATGAATCCCATTTCATAAACTTGAATAAAGCCACCCAGAAATCTATTCCATTTCTGCAGGCTGTGGTTACTAGATTTGAGGCCAAAGGGCATTGTGTTTGGGCTTTAGGGAGGGAAGGATTAAGGATAAAGGGAGACTTTCTTAGCCCCTCTTCTAGCACACTTTCTGTTGGTGATCAGAGAGTGGTAACAGTTGTTTCTCTCTGATTCAGGGCAATAATTCCAAAGCACCTTCCGGAGGGATTCCAAATGGAAACAGCTTCTCCCTGCAGAAAGTAGCCGGCACAGTCCAAAGAGCAGAGACAAACATGGCTCAGTGTAATGGCTCCTCTCTCTCTTCTTGCCCACCGGACCGAAGAATCAAGGTACAATAACTCCTCTCTTAACGTTGTAGTTATGTTCCTGAAAAATGCTACTTTAAGCGAAACAATGTTAAGCGAATCCAATTTCCCCATAAGAACTAATGTAAATAGTGGGGGTTAGGTTCCAGGGAAATTTTTTTCACCAAACAAAAGACACTCTCTCTCTCTCTCTCTCTCTCTCTCTCTAAGTTTTAAACAAACAATTTAATACTATACACCGCAATGATGATTGTGAAGCTTGGTTGAGGTGGTGAAGTCAGAGGGTGGGATATTTCCCAGGGAATGCCTTACTGCTAAATGATGAACTACCTTTTCGCTGAGCCCTCAAGGGTTAACACGTTGTTAATGTAGCCTCACACTCTACAAGGCAGCACGAATGGAGGGAGGGGAGACAGCATGGCAGACAGAGACACAAACCCTGTGTGAGAGAGAGATGTGCATTGCCCCTTTAAGTACCTGATCCCCTCTAAGTAAACTGCCTTGTTAAGTAGATCAGCAAGTTGAGACAGCAGCTGCTCCCAGGAATCTCCCTCTGTCCTGAACCCTGTCCTGTCGTCCCCCCACCCCCATGGAGAAGGGGTAAGTGGGGGTGGGGCAGGAGTAGGGGGGAGAGGGAAACCCTGACATTAGCCCCCCTCTTCCCCCCCGTCAAGCAAGCAGGAGCTTCCCGGGAGCAGCTCCAAGGCAGAGGGCAGGAACAGCACATGGCAGTGGGGGGAGGGGACAGTTGAACTGCCGGCAATTGATAGCCTGCTGGGTGGCTGCCGCACAGGGAACTTAGGGGAGCTGGGAGCTGATGGGGGGCTGCCGGTCCACCCTGGTTCCAAGCCCCCACCAGCTAGCTCCAACGGGCTGCTCTTTCTGCAAGCAGTGGACAAAGCAGGCGGCTGCCAAACAACATTAGAAGGGAGCATTGCACAACTTTAAACGAGCATGTTCTCTAATTGATCAGCAACAAAACAACATTAACCGGGATGACTTAAGGTGACCAGATGTCCCGATTTTATAGGGACAGTCCCGATTTTTGGGTCTTTTTTTTATATAGGCTCCTATTACCCCCTTCCCCGTCCCGATTTTTCACACTTGCTGTCTGGTCACCCTTGGATGAAGAGTTACTGTAAACGATCAGCAAGCTGAACCCAGAGTGCAGAAGGAGGGAGTGCAGTGTCCTACATCTGCTCCCAGGTGGAATTGCCATTATTTGTTGAGGAGGGAGAGGTTTGAAATTCAGCCAGAGTAGTGCAGGGTTTCTGCATTGAGGGTGCCTGAAAACCTGGTCTGGTGGATTGTGGACAGAGCCATTCACAGAAAAATGTTGAAAGTTTAAGAATGAATTGTTTAATTTAATCATGTCTGAAACGTGATCTGGAGCTGATTGGACAACTCTTTCCAAAAATTCCCTACACAACTACATCAGGGTTGGAAAGGGAAGCTCTCAAAGTCAGGAAAAGCCAGTTCCTATGTCTTCACAACGATAACTCTGCTCCTTGTGCATATGTTACCCCAGTGCTATCTTCAGTGAACTCATCAGATTGTCTCAAATACTAGTCTGAGAGCATGGGATGTTCTGACTATCCCCTCTTTATTTTCATACCTATGCTATTTTTAGTTTCTTTATTGACAGACTTTTTATGTGCTGATTTCTTTTTTCTCTAACATCTGTATTGTAATAATTTAGCAGTTTGGGGACTGAGGCAATTAACTACACAGCTAACTTAGCTTAGTGACTTTTGATGGTTTACATATGAAAGAAAATTTTCACTATTTTATTATTTGTGTTACAGACACATCTATAGACTCCAATCAAGGATCAGGACCTCATTGTGCTAGACACTGTACAAACAGTAAAAGAGCATGCCTGCCTGAGAGAGCTTATGATTTAAATTTTTAAGCCAACATGCAACAAATATGTTTGACAAACGTTAGAGAAGGAAGTGAGAGGGTAACCATAAGATGTGGTTACATGGGCTGGCTAGTGCACAACTTGATTACACTCAGTTAAAAGCTTCTTATAAACTCGTCCCTTTCCTCTTTTAATTCTGTTTCCTTTTATTTTAAATCTCTGCTTTTGCCTATTTCTTAAATTATTTTGCTACTCTTTTTGTTATCCTTTAATATGTAGGATGCAGTGTAAATCTAGTTTACTATGTACTTTTCATGTTTGTGACTTTCACATGCTCTGGTGTGTGCACATAGAGTAGTGCACAGGTTGGAAGATACTACATTCAGTGTGTATAAAGGGGAAGAAAAATTGTATGATAATGTGCCAGTATTTTAAAGGAAATGGGAGGACCCGGGAATCTACAGGCTGATTAGCTTGGTATCAATCCCAGGCAAAATCATAGAAAGGCTGATGTGAGACATAATCAGTAAAAACTTAAAAGATGGTCGCATAGTTAGTGCCAGGCAACTTGGTTTTATGGAAAATAGGTCTTGTCAGCAAAACTTGATGTAAAGTTTGATTATATCACAAGTTTTGTTGATAAACGTAACTGTGTCGACATAGTGTTCTTCTGTAAGGCATTTGACTAGTCCCAAATGGCATGCTGATAAAATTAGCAATATACAAAATTAATGTAGCCCATATTAAATGGACTAAAAACAGTTTAACTGATCGATCATAAAACATAATTGTAAATGGGGAATCATCATCCAATGGAGGTACAGTTCATCAGGGATCTATTCTCAGCTCATTGCTATTTAATATTTGTATCAGTTATCTGAAAGAAAACATAAAATCATTGCTGGTAAAATTTGCAGATGACACAAATTGGTGGAGCGGTAAATAATGATGAGGATAATTTAGTTATACAGATCAACCTGCATCGCTAAGTAAGGTGGGCTTATTTGAACAGCCAAATGCAAGGTCGTACATCAAGGAACAAAGAGTGAGGGGTCACACTTAACAGATGGGGGACTGTATCATGGAAAGCAGTGACTCTGAGAAGTACGGAAGGGCCAGGGTAGATAATCAGTTAAAAATTAGCTCCTATTGTGGTGCTGCTAAGAGGGTGAACACAGTCCTTGGATGTATAAACGGGAGAATATCTAGTAGGAATAGGGAGGTGGTATTACCTCTATAAATAGCATTAGTGAGACCATTACTAGAATACTGTGTCCAGTTCTGGTGCCCAGACTTTAAAAAGAAGGCTGAAAAATTGGAAAGCATTCATAAAAGAGCTACAGGAATTATATGAGATCTGAAAAATATGTCTTACAGTGAGAGACTAAAGACGTTTATTCTCAGAGAAGGTTAATAGATTACTTGATCATGGTCTGCCAGTACCTACATGATGAAGTGGATGGCTCTTTAATCTAGCCAAATGAGGCATAACACAATCCAGTGCTTACAAACTAAAACTAGACAATTTAGGATTAGAAATAAGGCATAATTTTTAATGAGGGTAATTAACCATTGGAACAATTTACTTAAGGATGAGATAGATTCTCAAAGTACATGAGAGCAAGAGATAGTGCTCAGTGAAGCGGGTTCAGCTATGGAATGAGCTTCCAAAAGTTTTAGGCTAATCTAGAGCCTGATCACCTTAGCACATGCCTTTCCTGTGATAACGTTTTCCCACTAGCCAGAATGAGATGCCTTACGCAGTTTCTTAGAACCACAAAAGCGCAGAAGACTCCATGAAGTCCACTAGAGACATTGTTATGTAAATCAAATTAATTTGTGCAGAACTTAAATACTATAGTGGTGGGCACTATAGAAAACACTAAAAAAGATGGAGACAAGCCAGTGTGGGGGCAGCAGGTGGGCACTTGCTTGTAGTTGTTTAGAAGTGTTTATCAGAATATGTCAATAGGCAGCAGCCAACCTCAAAGTAGGTCCATCAGAATTGAAATTGACTTCTTAGGGGCTGTTAGCACTTTCCTTTGATTTGTTTCTTGTTCTTGTTTTTTTTTCATTTAATGCAATATTTGAAGTTTTTAAGCCACAAAAAGTAAATTTCAGCTTCCACCAGCAGCATTAGCTCTGCTGCATTGTACCTCCCATGTCTTGCATGGGAGACGTTTGACAAGTTGTATATTAAACTATGCAATTGACTAGAAAACAGACTCTACTTATATTAGAACCCAGTCGCTTATGCAAATTTGTGGACACCATCTGAAATCTGTTGTTGCTTTATAATTGGATTTATTCCTCCAGACTGCCTTCCTTCTCTTCCCTTTCTCTAGTAAGCCTCTTTCTCGTCTTCTCTCCCTGTCTTTAGAGCTCTTTCTATGCTTGTACCTCTCTTCCCCTTCCTCACTAAGATGGAGTTCTCAACCCTAAGGCTCCCCCTGTCTGCACTAGAGCTGAATGTGGCAATGCAGTGTCCTGTCTAAAGCACAGACATGGGGTTTAAGCCACTGACCAGCCCTGCCCCACCATGATTCACCTGCTCTTAGAGTGGGTAACTTGCCCGTTGGCTGTACCTGATGCTTCCCCCTACCCTGAACCTCATCAAATTCCCTCACTCATGAATGCCTCTGACTTCCCTCTGCAGATCAGTGGATACCTTAACCTGTTGGCTAATACCATTGATAACTTCACACATGGCCTGGCGGTGGCAGCCAGCTTCCTGGTTAGCAGAAAGGTAAGATTTGTGCCGCACCCCCCTGCCAAACTGGAGATCTGGGAGAACCCTTCTCTCAGCTGTAATGTGTGCCTGCCTGCCAAGTAAATGACTTGGGGATCACTTCCCCAAGGGGTAGCTGCCAAGACAGTGCTGTACTGGAGAAAACAGCAGGGAGCAGCCCTGCTCGGGACACAGCCTTTCTGGCTCTAATGCAGGGATAGGCAACCTATGGCACGCATGCCAAAGGCAGCACACGAGCTGATTTTCAGAGGCACTCACACTGCCCGGGTCCTGGCCACCAGTCCTGGGGGCTTTGCATTTTAATTCAATTTTAAATGAAGCTTCTTAAACATTTTAAAAACCTTATTTACTTTACATACAACAATAGTTTAGTTATATATTATAGACTTATTGAAAGAGACTTTCTAAAACCGTTAAAATGTATTACTGGCACGCGAAACCTTAAATTAGAGTGAATAAATGAAGATTTGGCACACCACTTCTGAAAGGTTCCTGACCCCTGCTCTAATGTTTCAGATCTTGGAGACCCTTGGCCCCTGCATTAGGCATGCATGGACCAGATAGTTATCTCATATGTCTCTATACTGAGCGCTTAACACAAGGCAGCCAGAGTCCATTCACTTTAGGGGTGGGGGGCTGTACTCTCAGCACCACTGAGCTTTGAGACCATTTCCTAATAGACTTTTCCCATCTTCTGCAGGTTGGGCTCCTAACCACCCTGGCAATCCTACTGCACGAAATCCCACATGAGGTGAGAAGGGTCTGCAGCCTGCTGCCAGGGGAGCTGGGAAGTTAGGACCTGGTCTGAAGCAGGACAGCAGTGCTCTGTCTGTGGGAAGAGGGCTGGTGGGGGTTACCTCTGTTCTGCATCATTCTTTCCTTTCCTTGGAGGATCTGCTCCCTGCTGAGTGCTGGTGTTCACCCACCATGTTCCTAGTCGAGCTATCTCCTTTGTTAATGCTGGTCTCTGTGTTCAGGAGAGTTAGGATCGATAGCCACTGACTCTGCTTTCCCATAGGTAGGAGACTTCGCCATCCTGCTCCGGGCTGGGTTTGACCGCTGGAGTGCAGCCAAGATGCAGCTTTCCACAGCTCTGGGGGGAATTCTAGGAACCTGCTTTGCAATCTGTTCTCAGTCGCCTAAAGGGACAGGTAAGGCTCACTGGGGCTGCATTGAGGAATGTGTCTGATTGTGTGCCTACTTTCCTCTGTCTGTTCTCCTATATCCCTTCTCATTACTAATGGTGATTTTCACTGCATGTGCAGGGGAAACTGTAGCTTGGATTCTCCCATTCACCTCCGGGGGATTCCTGTACATTGCCTTGGTAAACGTTGTGCCTGACCTCCTAGAGGAGAAGAATCCCTGGTAAGTGGCTCCATTGTGGTTACTAGTATGCTGGTATAACATTTCTGCTGTGGTGGTGGGAGAGAACATGGTGGTAAAGCCTCCTGGATGCCACCACACTGTTCCTGGGAGCAGGTGAGCACTTTCTCCCCAAATCCCATGAGAGGTGAGATGGTATCTATCAGAGTCTGCTGTGCTGTGCCAAGTACTCAGCTTCTGGCTGCTAGTTAATACAGGGCACGCTGACTGAAAGGTTTATCACAGCCTATCTCTAATATAATGTGCTGGCTCCTGAGCATGTTAGATAGAACAGATTCAGTCTAGGCTGTTGTCTAGCCAAGCGCCTGACCTAACGCTGTCCTCAGGGTATCTACTCCTTCCCCATCCCTAATTCAGTGCTTTGCTGAATTGACATTGTGAGGGTATAAAACAAGCAATCAATGCCAATTTGATACTGAATACTGACTGAATTCATCTGTTGACATGAATGCATTCAGCTCCCAGCAAAGCCAATGTCACTTCCAATTATTTTTTAACCCTCTGATCTTTGAGAGTTTGCCACTGCAGGGAACTAGGGACCATTCTCTTTCAGAGGAATAGCAAATTATTGTGACTTAAGATTTCTCAGTCACTTTCCATTATGATGGATTTTTAATTCTTCCCATTGCACTCTGCTCCCTAGATGTATTAATTTCCCAACCTTTGTTTTCACGAAATATAGTCCTTTGTACTGCTGCCATTCAGTGACAAACCCCAACTCTGTTCATTACTGTCATCAATAGTACCAATCTTCTATAGAATGATCACTACATCCTTACCACTTCCAGTATCCAGCCTGGTCTCCTATTAGAGTGGTTTCTCAGACCTCTCTCTGCCACACACATGGAAGTGTTGTGAATATCTTTCCTACTCCTGGAGGTGGTTGCCTTGCCCATGTGCATGTCTTCATTCAGACAACAGCCTTGTTCTGAGTGACAAGTCTAGAGGGGCAGAGTGCATAAGAGATTGGACTCCTGAGCCCCTGTACTTGTGCAGATTGGGACTGGTTCCTGGCCCATTCTGACTCTTGTTTCTTCCCTAGGAACTCCGTGCAGCAGATCCTTCTCCTGTGCACAGGCATTACAGTCATGGTGCTGCTCTCACTCACTACAGAATGACCTCCGCTCAGACCTCCTCATGCTGCCTCCCAGAGCTGCATTGACTTTGAGCTGTTACAAAGCAATAAGGAACACTAATGTAACTTTCTGTGTGCGCTTGTGGGTCCAGCTGCTAGTGTGAGAGGCAGTTGAGAAAAAGAGGGAGTCATTGGGGATGCTGGACTCCGTTCCCTGGCTCTTCTATCCCTGCTCTGTTAAAATCCCACAAACCAGGGCTTCCAATGTTGGTGTTTTATGGAGTGAAAGCTTTTAAGGAGAAGAAATGAACCAAGAACCTGTTCCAAGGAGAACAGACTGTCTCACCCTGGAGTAAGAACAAGTGTTGGAATTGCACATCTTAAGCTGCTCAGTGAATAGACAAGATCCCTGTATCTGGCAAAGAAGGATTTACCTGCTACTCCAGGCTTAGAAAGAAAACAATTTTCCCAAAGCAGCAGCAAACCACCAACATTCCCCAGTGCAGCCTACCTAGCAGGAGCAAAGGTACTATCAAAACCACATAGGTGCATAGAGGTGAGAAGGCCCCTTCCCACTCAGCCCTCATTTATCAGTAGAAAAATGGGATGGTGTCAGCCTGGACAGTCTGCCTCTCTGAGTTCTTCTGCCTTAGCTTTGAAATCAGGGCTAATACTTGGGGCAGGTTGGGATAGGAGGTTATATAGCTTAGCCTGAAAGCTTCTGCCTTTAACCTTAACTCCTCTGTTTAGAGAACCTATCCCCTCCCCTGTTCAACACAGCCTAGGTGCATATTTGAGAAATGGTCAGCAAATGTTTCCTATCATCCCAGATCATCAGCTCATCTGTATCTGGGGGAAACCTGCTCAGTCACTGCCCCCCTCCTAAGGCCTCTCATCAGCAGGTGTAGAGTGAGCAGGGCCTGGACTCTGGCCTCCACCAGAGGAGGAATGGGGGGGAGGAGGAATGGAGGAGAGAGAAAACAATGACTATACATAGAGAAAGGGCAGAGCAGAGAAGAAAACATTACGTGTGTGTGTGTGTGAGTGTGAGAGAGTGTGATGGATGGGGCAGTGTTTCGGTCCCTGAGATCTCCGACACAGTTTAGGAAGGCAGCAAGCTGGTCCCTGGTATCAAAAAGGTTGAGAAACACTGGAAAGGGGAACCTGCCGGTGAGAAGGATGAAAAGTGAGTCTGAAATCACTGTGGCTGTAAAGCTTGGAGAAGGAATCTGAGTGTGACAGTGACTGTGCCCTTGAGTTGAAGTCATGTGGTGTCTGGGATCCCATTTGATGCCAGTTTAACCGACTAGTAAAACTAAATCTAAAAATTCCTGGTTTTGACTGATGGGGATTACGAACTCTGACAACCCCACCTCCTCTGGAATGTCAGAACTCCCTAAACATATGCACACTTGCTTAGGCCTTACCTATAGGAGAAAGTTGCACTGATTTTAATTAAATCTGTTTAGAACCAATGTAGTTAAATTAATGCAACCTCCTTGTGTGAGGCACAAAATAAGAGTCCACAACAGGATATTCTGAATCCTTCCTGTGCCATCAGACATCACATAGGATACAAATGAGCTCTGCCATTAACCAGGGGTTGCATCAATTTAAATCTGTATCTAAATTGCTTTAGTTAAATAAATACAGCTTTCTTGTGTAGCCAGGACCTTTTTGAAAAGGGCTGGCTCCTGATGCTGTTCAGGACATTTAGGGCTCCAGTGAGTGGCCAGGTTGGCTTAGGCAGTAACAAGCCAGAAGCACTGCCCAGAGCAGGTTGCCCTCATTTCCTTAAGAGCTTTGAAAATGTTGACTATTTCCATATGGTAGCTTCCCTGCCACTTTCTGAAGAAAGCCTGAGAACTTCTGCTTGCAACATTCTCTGCAGATGGGCCAGTGACTAAAATCCCTGCAGCTTTTCTTACACCGATCCCTACATTACCAGCTAGATCTGTTGGAGCCATGAGGGAGGCTGTTTCAGTACAATGCTCTGTTTGACCCTGGAAAGTTGCCTTCCCATGACAGCTGCTGCCTATATCATCCAGCTGCTGTGAGCTCCAATGAAGCATTCACCCTCTTCTTTTGAGGCATCAGAGATGACCCCTAGCCCTTAAGTACTCAGAGAGGCCCCAAGATACTATTTCCACCACAGTGTGGCTAGTTTACCTTGGGGTTAGAGTTACAAAACCTCTGGTGTGGGAGCCTGGAGGAAGCAAATGTATGTACACCCAGCACTTCCCAAGAGTTTGTTAATTGAAAATCAGGTTGGCATTTTTTAAGTTAAGGGCCCAGTGCATTGCAGGGCTTAGTGCCTGGGCCTTGGTGCTATTGCATCAGTGCCGGGTTTGGCCAAGAATGTAAACCACAGCAGGGATTCTGCTCAGTGTTCAGGAATGTGCAGTGGGTGACACTGAAGCATTAATCATGGAGCTGTTTCTTTTGGCTGGCAGCCCAAGCCTGGACTGAGTCTGCAGTTCTTGGGAAGCTACACCCACAGGGGCAGCACAGGGCCTTAAAGAGCGATGGTTAGCTGCTCCACTGCATGCTGAAACAAGGGCCTGTGGGAGGGAGGCTGTTAGACACTCCACTACATTTGTCACTTTTGGAAATGCAGAAAAAATCCTATTTTCTAGCTCTATTTTTTCAGCTACTCTTGTGCATTTTCCCATTCATCTGTATTGATCTGATCTGCATGGAGACAATAGAGATGAAATAAATGGTACTGAGTGTGGGTTTGTTTTTCTTGGTAAAGAAAATCCTTCTCTCTTCCACTGCCAGTGGACCACAGAGCAATACCCCTGCAGTTAGCAAGCTATACCTGGCTCTGCATAGGCCCTATTCCATGATCTATTCCTAAAGCTTTTGCTACTGAAAGCACCTTATGTATTTTAAACAACCTGATCTGCCTGCTGTCATGGGAAACTCCTGGATTAGCATGGATGTGGTTTGACCATAGCTGGCTTGGTGTATGTTGTCTCTGCTCCCTCTCCAGGGCAGCAGCTATATGACAGCTCACAGCCCAGAAAATCATAGAAAGTTAAGAGAACTGAGTTTCCATCTCTGGCCCAATTATCACTTACCTTCCTTAAAAATTAAAGCCAAGCCAATTTTCCGCACATTCTGACAGGTGCCCTGCAGCAACCCATCAAACAGTGAATGCAAGAGCCAAGAAGTTTAGCAAGAAGCTCATGGAGGAATTTCTTCTATTCCCCAAACAAAGACAGGTCAAAAGGGGCAAGATGGGGAGTCCTGGAAAGAGTCAACCCCCTCATCTAAGCGGTTATCAGGTGATGAGAGCACTGGATGGTATTAAATACTTTCCATTAAAAATGTGAATCATTTGTGCCAAAAAAAAAAATGAAACAGGAGCTGGAAGAGGGTATGGGGAGGAAACAGGAATTGATGTTGGATGTAGGTAGTAAGTCTGAGAGAGTGAGTCTTTAAATTGACTGGTTTAGGAAACACTAATTTTCTGGTCTCTGGAGATTAGAGAGAGCTGCAGATTAAATCAAATGCAACATTTCCAATTCATTTTTAATTCTTGATGTGATTATGGCTTCTGACCAGGCAGGTGCAAAAACTTGCAGAAGAATGTTAGTCCTGTAATTCCCCTTTACATCTTGTGACTCTAAGGTACTAACAAGAGTGTGGTCCCACATGGACAACACAAACAGCCATGAGAGAACCTTGTTAAAACATGATTTAAACAGTCTTCAGCGCAAGGGAACACCCATCTTTTCTTTGAGGCTTGGACCATTCCAGGTAAGGCTATGTTGGGTGCGTGGATGCTGCACACCCTCACTTCCTTGCAGCCTGCAAAGCAGCAAGTCAGATCTACCTCTACATCCACTTTAGTCAGTTGGCCATTGCTTTTCCCCAGTTAGGGTTTTTCTCTTGATTGTTTTCTTAGCTCTGGCTCTGTAGTGTACTATAATATAGGTTTTGGGGAAATTTTCCCTGTACTCCCCTTCCCCACCCCCACCACTATCTTATCTACTAAATATGGCAGAATCTGCAAAAAGGATGGGGTTCAAAGAATGACTCACTGGAGGCTCCAATGTTCTCATTTCCTACCAAAGCTAGGCTTGTGTAAAGTGAGCAACTCCATCCCAAGAGTGTGGATTTGTACTGTGAATCTCCTTAAGAACTCAAGTTACTGGTAAGTAACACTTTTTGAGTGAATTTTCTCATATCTTCTCCCTCCTTAAAGACTATACAATTCAGTTGAAAGTAATGAGCTGAAATGTTAGTTTAAAAGCATGTGTTGCTTTCAGTTTTGAACAGTTCTGTTCTTATTACAGATACAATGGGTTTTTACAAAAGTGATCACAAATGAAGTGAGGTAGGGTAGGGGCACTACACAAAAATGAGGAAGCTAGTTAAATGGAGAGTAAAATGAACAGTCACCAGCATGAAATGCCTGCCAGCTGCATGGAAACTATTTAAAAACACCATAATAGAGGTGCAAATTAAATGTTTACCCCCAAATTAAAAAAATATAGTAAGAGGATCAAAACAATGCTGCAATGGCTAAACAACAGAGTACAGTAACTCCTCACTTAACGTCCTCCGGCTTAACGTTGTTTCAAAGTTACTTTGCTGCTCAATTAGGGAACATGCTCGTTTAAAGTTGTGCAATTCTCCCTTATAACGTCGTTTGGTTGACTGCTCTGTCCACTGCTTGTAAGATTCTGTGGAAGAGCAGCGACTTTACAAGGGAGCATTGCACAAGTTCCTCTTCTCTGCCTCCTCCCCCTCCCTCCCAGTGCTTCCCCCACCGCCAAACAGCTGTTTGGCAGCGCTTAGGACTTTCTGGGAGGGAGGGGGAAGCGCTGCATCTCCGCTCTCCCCATCCCTCCCAGAAAGTCCTAAGCGTGAAGCGCTGGGAGGGAGGGGGAGGAGAGGGGAAGCACCACATCACCACTTGCCCCCCTCCCTCCCAGAAAGTCCTAAGCTGTTTGGTGGTGCTTAGGACTTTTGGGGGGGGGGAAGGAGCGGGGATGTGGCTGCTCCAGAGAGGAGATGGAGTTGGGGGTGGGAAGAGGTGGGCCTGGAGCATCCCCCGGCAAAGTCGGTGCCTGTTCTTCGGGGAAGCTGCTGCTGCGAAGGTGCTTCCTAGCATCCTTGCGTGCAGCGGGCTGTGCCTGTGTGGGGTAAGCCAGGGGCACTTCCCAACCACAGTACAGCACAGTATATAATGCCTCTTGTCTGTCCCAAAAAAATTTCCTTGGAACCTAACCCCCTGCATTTACATTAAATCTTATTGGAAAAGTGGATTCGTTTAACATTGTTTCACTTAAAGTTGCATTTTTCAGGAACATAACTACAAAGTTAAGTGAGGAGTTACTGTAAAAGAAGCAGTTAGAGGCAAAAAGGCATCCTTTAAAAATTGGAAGTCAGGTCCTACTCAGGAGAATAGAAAGGAACATAAACTCTGGCAAGTCAAGAAAGGAGGCAGGCCAAAAAAGAATTTGTAGAGCAACTAGCAAAAGATTCATAAACTAACAGCAAAAAAAAAAAAAAAAAAAAAAAAAAAGGTAAGTACATCAGATGCAGGAAGCCTGCCAAACAATCAGTGGGGCCACTGGATGATCGAGGTGCTAAAGAAAGACAAGGCTGTTAGGGAGAAGCTAAATGAATTCTTTGCATCAGAATTCACTGCAGAGGATGTGAGGGAGATTCCCACACCTGAGCCATTCTATTTAAGTGACCAGTCTGAGGAGTCAACAGAGGTGGTTTTGGAATAAATTGATAAACAGTAATAAGTCACCAGGACCAGATAGTATTCACCCAAGACTTCTGAAGGAACTCGACCATGAAATAGCAGAACTACCAACTCTGGTATATAACCTATCACTTAAATCAGCTTCTGAACCAGATGACTGGAGGATAACTAATGTGATGCCAATTTTTAAACAAGGCTTCAGAGATGATCCTGGCAATTACAGGCCGATAACCCTAACTTCAGTATCAGACAAAATGGCTGAAATTATAGTAAAAAACAAAATTATTAGATACATAGATGAATATGATTTGTTTTGGAAGACTCAACACAGCTTTTGTAAAAGGAAATAATGCTTCATCAATTTATTAGAATTCTTTGAGGTGGTCAATGAACTTCAACAAAGGTGATACAGTAGATATAGTGTATTTGGACTTTCAGGAAGCTTTTGACAAGGTCTCTGACCAAAGGCTTTTAAGCACAATAAGCTGTCATGGGATAAGACAGAAGGCCCTCTTTTGGATTAGTAACTGATTAAAATAGAGGAAAAGGGTAGGAATAAGGGGTCAGTTTTCAGAATGGAGAGGGGTAAATAGTGATGATCCCCAGGGATCTGTACTGGAACCAGTATTGTTCATCGTATTCATAAATGATCTGGAAAAAGGGGTAAACAGTGAGGTGGCAGTTTGCAGATGATGCAGAATTATTCAGGATAGGTAAATCCAAAGCAAACTGTGAAGAGTTCCAAAGGGATCTCACAAAACTGGGTGATTGAGGAACAAAATGGCAGATGAAATTCAATGATGATAAATGCAAAGTAATGCACATTGGAAAACATCATCCTAACTCTACATACAAAATGATGGGACTAAATTAGCTGTTACCACTCAAGAAAGAGATCTTCGTGTTTATTGTGGATAGTTCTCTGAAAACTTCTACTGAATGTGCAGCAGCAGTCGAAAAAGTTAACAGAATGTTAGGAACCATTAGTAAAAGCATAGATAATAAGACAGTAAATATCATAATGGCACTATATAAATCCATGGTATGCCCGCACCTGGAATACTGTGTGCAGTTCTAGTCACCCCATCTCAAAAAAGATACATTAGAAATGGAAAAGGTACAGAGAAGGGCAACAAAAATGATTAAGTGTACGGAACAGCTTCTGTGTGAGGAGAGATTAAGAATATTGGGACTTTTCAGCTTGGAAAAGAGACAACTAAGGGAGGATATGATAGAGGTCTATAAAATGATGAATGGTGTGGAGAAAGTGAATAAGGAAGTATTATTTACACCTTCACATAACCACAAGAACCAGGAGCCACCCAATGAAATAGGCAGCACATTTAAAACAAACAAAAAGAAGTACTTCACACAACTCCCAATCTTCCTGTAGAATTGGTTGCCAGGGGATGGTGTGAAGGCCAAAACTATAACCTGGATTTAAAAAAAAAAGAATTAGATAAGTTCATGAAGGATAGGTCTATCAATGGCTATTACCCAAATTAGTCAGGCATGCAGTCTCATGCACTGGGTGGCCCTAGGCCTCGTCAGATGCTGGGGCTGGAGGACAGAGGATGGATTGCCCTGTTCATTCCCTTTGAAGCATCTGTTACTGGCCACTGTTGGAAGACAGGATACTGGGATAGATGGACCATTGGTCTGACCCTGTAGGGCCAGTTTTACACTATGTAGTATACAAGCTCCCCATACCCTTCTGGTAAGGCCCTTCGCTACAGCCATGCAGTACCCCTGTTATTCTAGACCTAAGTCCTCAGACAGATTTATAGATACCCTTCAGGGCTATCTTGTAGCACTCTTGTCTGTTCTGCTCATGGCTCTCTCCAGCTTCACTTGGCTATGATCACAGGATGGTACAGCAGAATGGAAATTCACTAGAGACTGGGCTATCGCTGGTACCCTAAGTGGGATTTCAAACATGGTTCTCAAAGAAAAGGGCTGTCCTTGTGCTCACCCTCATAACTATCTAGTAGCCAAAATCCGCTGGTGATGGAGTCCCAGAGACCTTTGTAGGTCCATTTCTTGGGGTGGATCCTATCGCTGGGTTTAACATTGTCTTGCATTGAAAGAGTTACCTGGCTTACATCGCCAGCGTATCTGGCCATGCCCAGCTGTGGCCACTTGATTTTGGGCCAGCTGGAGAAAAGCACAGCCTGCGATGCATGCAGCATTTCACACACACGCTTCCCTGCCAGAAGCAGCGGCAGATGGAAACGCGTTTTTTTAAACTGCACGGGCAGCGTTTCAGGAGGCGCAGGCTCGCCTCTGGGAGCCAGGCTGAGACCGTGAGGAGCGCGGACACGGAAGATGATGCCCAGTGATTCCCGTGTTTAGGGGCCTGCAGGCGGGAGGTACCCAAAGCCCGGGGCACTGAGCGCCGTGGCCCCTCCAGAGCCGGGCCGCTCTCCCCAGTCTGGCCCTGGAGCAGAACGCACGTCGCGCGGTTGCGAAGCGGCTCTTCGGTAGCCAGGGGTTCCCTGCCCCGCAGGCGCCGGACTTTGGTGGGGCGGGAACCCGGCTGTAGCCTCGCCCCGCTGGGGCCGCGCCGCCCGGGGCCAGGCTCCCTCCGGGGCAGACGGGGCCGTGCCCCGCTCCGGGCGCCCTTTCAGCGCCCCAGGGCGGGGGTGGCGGGCCAGGCTGCCCGGGGGGAGGGGGCGGCCGCCAGCCGGGGCCCCGAGCACGAGAGGCGGCCGCCAGCCCGGCTGCCGGGGACGCGCTGCCGCCCGCCCAGCCGCTCCTCGCCCCCGGCGCGGGTAAGATGGCGGCCGCGGCTCAGGCGCTGAGCGGCTCGGGGCTGCTTCTGGCCGCCGCCGCCCTCGCCCTCCTGGCCGTGGCCATCGGCACCGACTCCTGGTACCAGACGGACGCGCGGCGGCACCGCGAGCGCTGCCGGAGCTTCGGCCACAAGCGCAGCGACCCGCCCGGCTCCATGTCGGCGCCCAGCCCGCACCTGCCGCTCCGCGCCCGCCCCCCGCGGGCCCTGCTGCCCGGCCACCCCCCGGCCTCTGCCCCGGCCCCGGCCGCCGCCGCCCTGGACTCGCACTGCGGCCGCCGCTTCAACTCCACCGTCTCCGGGCTCTGGAGGCGCTGCCACCGCGCGGGCTACGAGCCAGACAGCGAGGAGCTCATCCGGAAAGGTGCGGGGCTGGGAGCTGGCGGCGGAGTGAGGGGGGCGCTCGGGGGAGGCTGGAGTGGGAGGTCGGGCGGAGGGGGAGGAATGAGGGGCCCGAGACGGGGGCTCGGGGGGGCTGAGGGCTCTGTCCGGTGGGGAGCAGCCCGCGTTGCCCTTTCCCTGGGCTGCCCGCTGCCGGTAACCGGGTCCCTGGTGGCTGAGCTGAGCATCTCCAGAGGCTGGAACCAGCCGCTGTCCGCGGTGCTGAGCCCGCCTCGCTCCCCATTCAGCCCTAGGCAGCTGGCGCCAACCGGCCGGAAAGAGCCTTTGGGAAGGTCTGGGGGTATCTGTCGCCCACCCGGCGACCGGGTCCTCCGCCGCTTGCTGGGCCGAGGGCAGAGCCCCGGGGGGTGGGTGGGTCATCCTGTCGCGGGCCGGCTCAGTCCGAAGTCGGTCTGTCACTGCCCCCCCCCCCCCCCCGCCTATGCATCCCTAGAGCCGGCTCTGCCCCCTCAGCCTCTCACCTGGCTGCACCTGCTTCTGGGGCGGGGGTGGCGGCAGCGCCCAGCTGCTCTGGCCCGTCTCTTGGGGATGGGGGGACGGAAGCAATGCCACTACCTGGGGGGTAGCAGCTCAGGCAGCCAAGGAATTGCAAGGGGATTTGACACCTTCCCCTGAAGCATTTCCTATAGGGCAGTACCCTAGCTGAAAGGGAGCACTGGTGGCTCCAGGGGACCGAGCTCATAGCCCTGACCAGAAGTCTGTGGGCAGTAGTGGCTTTTCACAGCCAGGTAGCTTTAAAAGGTTGTTATATATTTATTGGAAGGGGTGTGGCAGATGCCTACTCCATGTAGCACTGCTACAGTTGTGCTGTTGTCTTGGCCAGGCCTGGGTCTGATTAGGGTGCTTCCCTCCTTGTCATTGAAAACTGGTAGGCAGCCCAATATGGTCTGCAGGGCTTTTCCCAGTCTATTTTTATAAGTCCTCACCACTGGAACTAGTGCCATGGTCCTGAGGAGACCCTTCCATATATTCCCTGGAGGGATTCCCCCCCCCCCCATATTCAACCTATGAATTTGCTTCACTGGGTCAGTATCTTTTTGGCAGGTAATGGCCAAGAAAAGAGTGAAATATTCCAAGCATGGTCTTACCTGAGCTGTACAGAAAAGGCCTATCCCCTCCTATTACAGCATGTGACACTTCCATGTATTTTAATAGGTATGTGCCCTCTCCCACTGCATGATCATCTCTCTGCTATGCCCCAATCTCTATGGTGGGGATAGAACTTTGATCCTGCTCCACCAGCACAGGCTAAGGAGATTATCCTTTAACAGGGCATATGACACACAGTTGAGAATTGTTCAAACATTATTATATTTTATTCTGATAGTGCAAACAGTGTGCTGTTTGACTTAGACAGTTATGAAGACAGCCCCTGTCCCACTTTGCCTACAATCCAGATAGACAAACTACAGAGTAGTTACGAAGTGGGATACAACAAAAATTCTGTTCTGAAGAGCATGATTTACTGACCCAATAGATATTTATTAACATGGACGAGTAGGGGCTGGGAGGAGAAGCTCCTTGACTTAGACACAAAATGAAAATAAATAGCAAAAACCAAATGTTCGAGTAGTTTTGATTGTGTCCTCCAGCTGTGGTTCAAGTCCCCATAGCCCCTGTACAACAGAAGATGGAATGACTCACTGTGGTGCTGGGCTTCATCTCTGAATCCTCTCTAATGTGCAGCTGTGGCTGTTGTTCCTAGAAATGCCATTACAAAATAAATTAGCTTCTTTCTCCATTTAATCTACCAGGATCCATTTTCATTTATATTTCCATGTTGATTTCATTCCACTAAAAGGCAGTTCATTAGTTTCATTTTATTAATTGACCTTGTCATTTTAAAATGTCTGCCTCTGTTTCTGCTTCCTATTGAATCATTCTGCTTCTACTGAAATTACTAGCGTTTTCCTCCCTCAAAAAACCCACCCCCACATTACTTCGAGTCTCACTGTATTCTTCTTCTTCTTTTTTTAATCTTTGCCAAGAGTCCATTCCCATCAGCCAGAAAAGTGCAGGCTTTTTTTTTTTTGGCACAGGAGTGGTGGTTCTCTGTCTAGGGCCTGATCCACCTACCTCTTTACTCATGGAAGTAAAATCATTCACGTGTTAGTATTGCAGGATCATGGATTTAAATAGATCTGGCTCTTTTCTCACCGTTTCCTCCTCATTCCCTGCTTTGCTCACAGCCTCTCCCCACCCAACTTTCCTGTGGCTACAGTTTGTAACCAGCCTCTTCAAGTCAGTGGGGAGATGACTTTGTCATTGTGCTCTTTGGGCAGGGACATTATTATGTGTAGGGAACTATAGGCAAACATTTTCACTTGTTAGGGTCTGCAGGTTGCTACAATTTATCATTGCAAGGCTCTCTTTCTCCTTGCTTTGCAACAAGCCCAAATCTGAAACCTTAATGGGGACTACTAATTGATTCATGGAAAAAGAAGAAATTTCAGAGGCCTGCAGTGACAGAGGAATAAATGACCTTATAAGATTTCAATAAGAGACTTTGTAAAAGATTTATTAAGGAAGCAGACTAGGAAGGGGGAAATCCATTGTTTCAACTCCTTATGGGCCTTCCTCAAGGTATGAATAAACTAAGTTCACCCTGCCTTTATCTAATTATTTACCTATTACTACAAGACAAAAACTGATAACAGAAATAGTGTCTGGTAATTTGGATGTAGTATCTTGCATTATTACATGGTAATGTGATTTTATAGAGACTTTCAAGCATCTCAACCTTTACAGATGAGAATTTCAGAACATAAATGTACAATAAGGTAGAGAAGCTGAAAACTATCATGAGCAAAATTTAGCTGAGGAAATATTCAAACATAAGAGGGAACGATAATGGGGGATTGTTTTAAAATGCTTTTATTAAATGCCCAAAAAACCCACACTTTTTCAATCATGAAAAGATTTCTTGGACAAAAAAAAATTCCTGATTAAGAGGAGAGATGAAAGAAGCAATATAAAATAAAACAAACGGAGAATCTGATGGCAATGCGTGCAATCAGGAAATGGAGATAGCTTCTCTTATCAGTTAAAGAGATCAGTGGAAAAAACCCCTATGGACAGCAGAGTTAAAAGACAATAAGAAGTTATTTAAATATAATCTGGAACAAAAAAATCCCAGCAATGGTATAGGACCATGTTAAAAGAACTGGGGCCTATTTTATAGTGCCTTCCTTCTACCAGACCAGGCTTTGATCTTGCTGAACCAGCTCACGTCCTTAGTTCTGTCTGAGCTCTCTCAAGGAATCCAGGGAAGCAATTTCCACCAGTTAGTTTTATTTTAAGCCTTCTTACCAAACAAATCAAAACTTTGCAGACTCTTCCCTCAAAGTCTGTGCAGGCTAACTGGTTGCTTCCCCAACTCTGACCCTCATGCTAGTAACTTTTTTATTAAGATGTCCTGGCACTTGCCTCAGAGCCTCAGCAATAATGGACTCCACACAGTCTGCCTTCTGTCTATTTGATTTCTGGAGCAGTTGCTCTCTGCATTAGTACCTGTAGCAGTGCATTGGGAGCACAGCCCCTGGTCCCTCAGCTTTCTGGAATATATTGCAGTTCTTTCCTCCATGTCCTGCTCTTTTTCATGTGCAGCAGATAGGGCTAGTTAACCAGTTAGCTAGCTAGCTAGCTGCAGGCCTCTGACCCCAGAGGAATGGTACCCCTTATAATTTCACAGTCCAATATGAGAAAAGGAAGGTAAAACTATCAATCATGATAGAGAAAAGGCAGTAGTAGTCAATAAATATTTTTTTCTCTGTACTTGGAAATTAGCAGGAAGATGTAAGTGATCTCATAAAGTGATAATGAAATACATACTATCCCATCAGTAATGAGGGAGAATGTTAAATAGCAACTGTTAATGTTAAAACACTTTAAAATCTGCAGGACTGGATAACTTGCACCCAAGGGTATTAAAGGAATTGGGAGAGGAGCCCTGTGAACAATTAATGTTGATTTTTAACAAATCTTGGAACACAGAAGATTCCAGAGGACTGGAAATGCCAGCATAGTGCCAACATTTTAAAAGGTTAAACAGGATTACCCAGGAACTATAGGCCAGTTACCTGGACATAAATCCCAATCAAGATTGTGAAAGACTTATATGGGATGCAATCAGGAAAGAATTAAAAAATGGTAGGATGAGTAATCCAAATAAACATGGTTGTACGGAAAATGTGTCTTGTCAAATAAACTTTATAATTTTAAATTTTGGATGTATAAGATGGCAATATCAAGCAAGAGTAGGAGCTGGTATTTCCTCTGTATATGGCATTAGTGAATACTGTGTTTACTTCTGGTGTCAACACTTCAAAAAGGATGTTGAAAAACCAGAAGGGGTTCAGAAAAGAACTACAAAAATTATTTGTGATCTGGAAAACATGCTTTATGGTGAGAGAGTAAACAAGCTTAATCTATTTAATTTATCCATGAGAGGGTTAAGAGGTGACTTGATCACAGTCTACAACTGTCTTCATGGGGAAGAGATTTGTGATAGTTAATGGCTCTTTAATCTAGTAGAAGGAAGCAGAACATTATGCAATGGTTGAAAGCTGAAACTAGAAAACCTGGCTAGAAATAAGGCACAATTGTTTAACTGTGAGAGCAGTTAACCTTTAGAGTAATTTACCTAGGGATGTGGTGGATTCCCTAACACTTGCAGTCTTTAAATCTAGACTGCATATCTTTCTAAAACATACACCATGGCTCGACCAGAAGGTATGGGCTTGATGCAGAAATTATCAGATGAGGTTCTTTGTCCTGTGTTATGTAGCTGGTCAGACTAGATTGAGATAGACAACCTATGGCACGCGTGCCAAAGGCGGCACGCGAGCTGATTTTCAGTGGCACTCACACTGCCTGGGTCCTGGCCACCAGTCCGGGGACTCTGCATTTTAATTTAAATGAAGCTTCTTAAACATTTAAAAAACCTTATTTACTTTACATACAACAATAGTTTAGTTATATATTATAGAAAGAGACCTTCTAAAAAGGTTAAAATGTATTACTGGCACACAAAACCTTAAATCAGAGTGAATAAATGAAGACTCGACACACCACTTCTGAAAGGTTGCCGACCCCTGGACCAGATGATCATAATGGTCTCTTCTGGCCTTAATATTTACAAACTTCAAATTCACCTTTAGGGAAACACTTCTTGATATATTTCTTGATATAGTATCTTCTGTTTCCACCCTACAATTTATAGTAAATTTCAAACCCTAAGAGAGAAAGTAATGGACTTAACATTTTGAAACCAGATGTATATGGGATTTATATTCTAAAAATATTTAAACCATCCAGTTTAAATAAAGAGCTGGTGCGTCTTTGTTTTAATCAATGAAGTTTTAGCCAACGAGTCCTTAGTTCAGATCCCTTGGGACATAAGTGATCTATAAAGCAAGCTAGATTCTTAAATTGTATATTTATATACTGAGATAATGTAAAATTGCTTCTCATATATATGTGATAGTACAATTATTCTTTACAGCAGTCTATCTAAAATAGGTTTTACCTTTGACACACCCTGCCTAACTGAATGTAGGAGGTAAATCATAGTGTTTGTTTTTGGGCCTGTATTGCAATATCTGTTTACTAATGTGACACTGATTTTTATAAGATTTGATTAATTTGGCTGTTAGTTTTATATAGAATTTCTAATTGTTATTTGTATTATAGCTAAGGCTACGTTTTAGTCACGGGTATTTTTAGTGAAAGTCATGGACAGGTCACGGGCAGTATACAAAAGTTCCTGGCCTGTAACCTGTCCATGACTTGTACTATACCCCTGACTAAATCTTGGGCACTCTGGGGCAAGGGGCGGCCTGCTGTTGCTGGGGTGGGGGCCTGGTAGCGGCATGTGGCCTGGGACCCCCGTCGCTGCTGGCCCAGGGGCTGCCTGAGCTGCTCAGGTGGTCCCTGGGCCAGACACACCAGCCACTGGAGTAGTCACGGAGGTCCCGGAATGTCACAAAATCTGTGAGTTCTGTGACCTCCATGACAGACTTGCAGCCTTAATTATAGATTCCATAAAAACTCACACCAAGAAGCTAGATCTATAACTGGGTGGCCAAACTGTGGCTTGTGAGCTGCATGTGGGTCTTTTATGGTTAAAGTGCAGCTCTTGGAGCCCCCCCAAGTCCTCCTCTTTCTCCACCTATTAGACTGGAGCAGGGAGCTTGGGATCTCTGCCTGGTGATGGGGTAGGGGCTTCTGCCCTGCAGGGAGGGGGGTCTTGAGGACTCAGCCCCATGGGGCACACCTGCTGGGGCTCCCGTCTTTAGCAGGAGTGGGGCTGAAGCCCGAGTCTCGGCTGGTGCCTCCTGCAGGGTTGAAGCCCCGATAGGTGTGCCCCAGCTCTCGAATTTCTGAAGATTGTCATATGCGGCTTGGAGGATCAGTAAATTTGGCCACCCTGATCGATAAGGTGAACACACTAAAAATTCAACCCTACCGTATAAAGTGTTTAGTATGGTAAATATTAATAATTAGATATGTAAACAGTGATTGACAATGATGATTGGAATTAGTTAGTTAATTAGATACCATGATGTGGAGGATGTGGCCTAAGTACTTAATTCAGAGCTGTACAAATCTTTTGTGAATGAGACCTGATCCCATTGAAGTCAATAAGAGTTAGATTGAGTTCTGGGAGTGGACAAGAGGCGTCCATACAGCAAAATCCCCCATATTACCTCTCTGAACTAAGTCTTTATTAACAAAATGCAAATCTTGTTCTTCTGCCCTTGTTGATGGGAGCTGTATAAGGACTTAGAGAGGGCGCATGCTCTGGAATCTCCCTCTTTAGTGTGGTTTTACAAATCTATGCACTCAGATTCAATTCTAAAATAAATTAAAATCAACAGTCTTTTAGCATGTGGGAAATTGAGATCACTCTCCCCCATCCCCTTCTCAATTTCTAAATATCCCCGGACTTAAGAGGGCCCCCGTGTACTTGCCTTTTTTTCCTTGTGAAGCCTGTCCCTCCCCCAATACCCAGTGGAGCCAGGTCTGTGCTGAGAGGTTACTGTCCCAATGAATCTCATTAGAGAAGAAAATCATAAGAACATAAGATAAGAATGGCCAGACTGGGTCAGACCAATGGTCCATGTAGCCCGAGATCCTGTCTCTGACAGTGGTCAGTGCAAGATGCTTCAGAGGGAATGAACAGAACTGGGTATTTTAGAGTGATCCATCCCGTTATCCAGTCCCAGCTGCTGGAGGTTTCAGGACACCCAGAGCATGGGGTTTTGTCCCTGACCGCCTTGGCTAATCACCATTGATGGATCTATCTCCATGAACTTATCTAATTCTTTTTCAAATCCAGTTATACTTTTGGCCTTCACAACATCCAACGGCAACAAGTTCCACAGGTTGTCTGTGTTGTGTAAAGAAGTACCTTATTTTGTTTTAAACCTGTTGCCTATTAATTTCATTGGGTTACCCGTTTTTTGTGTTCTGTGAAGGGTAAATAACACTTCCCTATTCACTTTCTCCATAGCATTCATGATTTTATAGATCTCTATCATATCCCCCCTTAGTCATCTCTTTTCTAAGATGAACAGTCCCAGTCTTTTTAATTTCTCCTCATATGGAAGCTGTTTCATACCCTTAATCATTTTTGTTGCCCTTCTCTGCACCTTTTCCAATTCTAATATATCTTTTTTGATATGAGATTATCAGAACTTTATGCAGTATTAAAGGTGTAGGTGTACCATGGATTTATATAGCAGCTTTGATATTGTCTGTCTTATTATATCTCTCTTTCCTAATGGTTCCTAACATTCTGTTAGCTTTTTTGACTGCTGCTGCACATTGAGTGAATGTCTTAGAGAACTAGCCACAATGACTCCAAGATCTCTTTCATGAAGGGTAATAGCTAATCTAGACCCCATCATTTTGTATGTATAGCTGGAAACATGTTTTCCAATTTGCATCACTTTGCACTTACCAGCATTGAATTTTATCTACCATTTTTGTCGCCCAGTCATCCAGTTTAGTGAGATCCCTTTTGTAATGTTTTACAGTCAGCTTAGGACTTAACTATCTTGAGCAATTTTATATTGTCTGAGAATTTTGCTGCCTCACTGTTTACCTCCTTTTTCAGCTCATTTATGAATATGTTGAACATCACTGGTTCTCACTACAGATTCTTGGGGACCCCACTATTTACCTCTTCATTGTGAAAACTGACCATTTATTCCTGCCCTTTGTTTCTTGTCTTTCAACCAGTTACTGATCAATGAGAGGACGGTCCCTATTATCCCATGACAGCTTAGTTTGCTTAAGAGCCTTTGGTGAGGGACCTTGCTAAAGGCTTTCTGAAAGTCCAAGTACATGATATGGACTGGATTATCCTTGTCCACATGCCTGTTGACCCCTGTCTCAAAGAATTCTAATATATTGGTGAGGCATGATTTCCCTTTATAAAAGCCACATTGACTGTCCCCCAACATATTATGTTTGTCTATTTGTCTGATAATTCTGTTCTTATAATTGTGTGCTTATCTTCAAATTCTTTCTTGGTTTGCTTTATTATACTTTCACACTTGTTTTGCCAGAGTTAATGCTCCTTTCTATTTTCCTCACTAGGATTTGACTCCCAATTTTTAAAGGATTCCTTTTTGCCTCTTTTACCCTGCTGTTTAGCCATCATGGCATTTTTTTGGTCCCGTTTTATTTATTTGGGGGTATACATATAGTTTGAGCTTCTATTATGGTGTTTTTAAACAGCCTCCGTTCTGTTTGCAGGCATTTCACTCTTCTGACTGTTCTTTTTTAATTTCTGCTTAACTAGCTTCGTTTTCATGTAGGTCCCCTTTTTAAAGTTAAATGCTATTGTGGTGGGTTTCTTTGGCATTTTCCCTCCTACAAAGATGTTAAATTTTAATTACATTATGGCCACTGTTACCAAGTGGTTCAGCTATATTCACCTTCTGGACCAGATACTGTGCTTCACATAGAACTAAATCAAGGATTGCCTCTCCCCTTATGGGATTCAGGACAAGACGCAGTCATTAATGGTGTCTAGAAATTTTATCTCTACATCCCTTCGAAAGGTGGCATATACCCAGTCAATATGAGGATAGTTGAAATCTCCCATTATTACTAAATTGTCTGCCTTTGTAGCCTCTCTAATATCGCTGAACATTTCACAACCATTGTCAGAAGGAGCTGAGCAGGATTGTTCCCTAGTTTGCTTTTACTAGTGTTTTGTTCACTCCCAGGCAATGGGGCTGCCTTCTCCCTCAGTGACTATTCCACACTGGCCCCCTCCTCTTTTAATCCCAGGTCACACTTTGTGCGCCCATCCTGAAACTCACTCACAGTCACACTCCCTTTTTTGGTTACACTTGCTCTGTTGCTGTCCTATTCATTTGCTGGCTTGAGTTAGTGGGTTAACTTTGAACTAAGACCATCATGCATCTGGCATGCTAGACTGGCAAACTCTGCTTCTTAGGACAACAAAGGCAATGAGGCACTTCCTAAAGTCAAGCTAGGTACAGACATTGCTCTTTCTGTGTCTTTCAGGAGTTATTCAGCGCTGCACTGCTGTGAAGTACCATTACACCTCATCCTCTCTGCCACGCAATTTACCCATCAATATTACCAACATCATCCGGCAGGACGAGTGGCATGCTCTCCGTAAGTAATCCAGACTCTTACCAATGCCATGCACCCTTACTAAGCAGGGTACAAGCATATTCAGAACCTTTCATATCTAGGTCACTGCCATGACTTCAGTACCAAATGCGGCACTAATTCAGAGATCAGTGAACGGTATCTAGAGCCTAAATGAACCTTAATTAGGGAGGCTGGAGACAAGCAAATTATGTTAACAGAAAGTGACCCAAGTGTAGAGGACATTTGGAGTGGCTACTGCAGTGGCCATATAAATTGGCAATAATGTTGCAGATCTGCTAGGGTGTGATGGAAGTGTCACTGCAGTTTATGGGATACCCTCACAACAGCTTGGTGTTGGTCAGACTCAATGCTGAAGCACAGATTAGTCCTAGTGGGTCAGGGCTGTACACTTATTTGATTTGTACAGTGCCTGCCATGCTTTCTCTCTACATCCCAAATGATGCGTAACCTCATTCTAGCTCCCTAACTCTCATGACCTCTCCTCTCAAAGCATGCTAATTTTGACTCTTCCACATGCCCATCCTTGCATCTTCCTGTTGCCAGTTCCTTCCTACCCAAACCCCTCCCAGCTGCCTAGTCACCTGCAACGCACCTGAAAGTGCTCCACTATCTCCTTCCTCACCTATCCATGTTCACATTGCCTTCTGGGGTTCCCTTCCTGGACTCCTGAGGATATGAGTTACTAGGCAACCCAGCTTCCCCTGCTGGTTTCCACCCTATGTAACTTACCAGCACAAGTTTAGGTGACTTTTTATGCAATTAATGCAACACGACTGAGATCATGCTGCAGCCTCACACATCTGCATGTTCATATAGGTGCTGCACATGGATGCTGTCACAAAGAACTATGGTGAGAGAGACATGCAAGAAAATGTCATAGGGCTTGACAAGTCTGTAGGCATAGGGCTCAGAACACTGGATTCCTACATTCTGGTCTAAATTTTCAAAAGTGCTTAGTGATTTTTGGTGTGCCCAAGTTGAGACACATTAAAGGGGCCTGATTTTCAGCAAGTGCTGAGCATCAGTCCTTTGAAAATAAAACCTTTTTAAAGTGATGCAAGTTGGGCTCCCAAGCTCATTATCATTTTTTAAAAGGTAGCCCTCTGCTCCAGCAGAATCAGAGACAAGTAGGTGTACTACAGTGAGGAAGAGAGGAGCTGAGACCCAGATAGCATTACCCAGTGTCCCCGATACTCCAGTACACAGGGAACACCCCATCCATTTCCCCAACCCCATTTGAGCTCAGGAAAAAGAAACTGCCAGGAGAAGTCAGCCAGAAACTGAGTTGTTGGCAGCAGCAGAAAGAAGCAGGGACCTCCAGATGTTTTTTTTTTTTGTTTTTTTGTTTTTTTACAGCTTTTACTATGGACATTCTCTCCCGTTTTGATTAGCTGTTTGCTCCAATCCTCTTCCTCCGTAGCCTCACTACACCTGCCCTCCGTACTATTTCCCCCTCCTTTCAGTGTCTCCTTTCCTTTGTCTCTCTGTCTAGCTAATCATTTCCCAACAACAACAAATAACCCCAGTGTAACAAAGCAACAAAAAAGTTGTGGTTTTAACATGATGTTTGCAAATCCTCAGAGTGTTTGCTATGCTGGTATGTTGTATCCCTTCCACCCATCACCCTCTGTCCAACTTGTCTCTTGCACTTCAGGACAGTGTGTAGTTCCCACCACAAAGAGGTCCTGGTCTCAGTGTACCTAGACACTACTGTAATGCAAACAATTTCTTTCTAAGAAGGTGCAGTATGGGAAAGCCCATCAGGGATACTAATTTATTAGTAGACCTAATAATCTCAATGGATTGTCTCTCTTGCCTCCCCAACATCCTGTCTTGGTGTCTCCTTTGTTTCTTCCCCTCTTGCTCCTCTCTCTCCTCAGATCTGCGGAGAATGACAGCCGGCTTCATTGGCATGGCAGTCTCCATCATCCTGTTTGGCTGGATCATTGGTATGCTGGGCTGTTGTAAACAGCACGAGCTCATGCAATACGTGGCAGGGCTGCTCTTCCTCATGGGAGGTGAGAGTTTTTCTCTTCATTCTAATATCAAACTTTTGATCGAAAGCATTAGAGCCACATCCCAAGCAGGTAGAAGTATAATCAGCCTCATCAGCAAACAGCACAAAGCCATTTATTAATGCAAGAGTTGATATAACATGGAGATTGAAATTTTAGACCCGCATGGCAGGAGATGAGTCAGGTTTCTTCTTTGCATCTGTGTCAGTGTAGATCTCACTGTAGGCATGCATGCAAGATCAGAGTCTTCTGAGTAGTGGTGTCCATCAAGGCTGTGCATGTCCCCTGCACCACCTCGTGCTCCTGCATGAGGATATAAACGGTGGGGCAGTAGTGACCCTCCCTCAGTTCCCTCTTGCTGCCCATAGAAGTGAGGCAGAATCCAGTGACTACTCGACCCGCTACACTCTTCAGAGACCTTAAACCAGTTCTTCCAGTCCATTTGGTGAAGAATTCTGTCCCCACACTTTTTCTCTAAAGGACATTTCTTTTTTTAAAAAATGGTAAATTGATGATCTCCATGTACAGCAAGGCAAGGGGCTTAGTGCCAACCACCACACCTCATGGCAGAGTCCACTCACGGTTCAAACCCTACCCATCCTGCAATGGGCTGAGCCTCCTCAAGGATGGATACAGATGAGGCTTCTTCTGCCTAGGAGAGCTACCTCCTGAATAAGTGCTTTGTGTGCAAGTCCTTCTCTGCCAGGACCCACAAATCCAGGGAAGCAGGGCTCAAGCTACATTTGCTTGAACAGTCCATGTGGGTCACTCTAGTTGTAACAGTCACCTCTGGGTCCAGAGTGAGGATGGATAAGCCAGCATTGGCCAGTGCTCATTCAAGGACTTAACACACTTCGGGATGGGGCAGTGGAAAGTAGAGAACACTGGCAGAGTCAGTGCTGAACACTTCAGTGTCAAGTAAGACCTTGGCAATGACAACCTAAGCATGGGCGCCTCAACTGCAACAGTCCTGGCACTGATTAAGTCAGCACGAACAACTCCAGCTCCCGCACCAACTGCCCTGACTCAGGCAGCACAGCCAGCCCCTGTGCCCACTCATAAATAACATACCAATTTGTGTAGTTGGTCTGAGCATCCACGTAACTCCGACTGAGGGGAGCTCCCAGATGGAAGACAAGGGAACACCACTGCAAGGACAAAGTTCCTAATCAATCCTGCAGAACGAGACCCAGTTGCAATGATACTCATGACAGAGCTGAGCAAGAGGCTCAGGTATGCTCTGGAGACATCGATATCACTCCCAGGGATGTTCCCAATATACTGAAGAGATAGCTGGTACCAGCCTTGTACCATTACTGATCATCACCCTTGAATGAGGTGAGAGATTCCTCCTCCCGTCACTGATGTAATTCTTCTTTCCAGCATTGAGCAGAAAGCCCTGTCTCCTGTCATCGGAGAACGACCCAAGGAGGGTATCTGGGAGTGCAACCAGCATGGAGGGGGCACTGAGCCAGCCAGCCCTAATGTGGCCAATATTTGTATAGCATGCCATATTGGTCTTACTGACAACTGTCCTCCCACATGTCAAGGAGCAGATCACCTTCCTGCACCCCAAGCTCTCTGGCAGCATTTCTGGCTAGGCCAACCACACTAGAACCAGATATTGCCCCACAGAAAAGGAGACTAGAGGACAGCCCCCAGCATCCTCCAACGGCAGACAAGGTGGTAACACTAGCATTCGCCTCAGCAATAGAAGACTTTAATACCTTCCAGGACCTCCTGTCCTGAATGGTGGAGTTCTTGGACATTGAGACTAAGTTCATGTAAAGAGTCTCACAAACTGTTTGATATTCTGAGTGTGATGACCCTCGCCAGCATCGCTCTCCCTATTAATGAAAGGATCCCAGAACTGGCGAAAGGGCTATGGCAGACCCCGGCCACTCTTCCTCCCACCTCCAGGAGTGTGGAGAAAAGGTATCAGGTGCTGCCGAAAGGTTTTGAGCACTTCTGTCTTCACTCAAACCCAGGGTTATTGGTCATCTGCAGTGCAAGAGAAATCAAAGTCTAAGAATAAGGACCCACAAAAGTTAGACCTGTTTGGACAAAAGGCATCTTCATGAGGTGTTGCTTTGGGTGGTGAATTACCAAGTACAATTACTTCATGGGGAAAAAATAGCAGGGATAACATGGAAGATCATCAAGGAGGAGCAGATGGTTCATGAGAACATTGCTGCAGGTAGCTATGGATGCCTCTGATAAGACTGCAAGACTGATTGATTGCCACAGCCCTCACTACAAGACAGGTCTGCTGGCTCCAGGCACTGGGCATACTACAAGAAGTACAGGCCATGATAAAGGACCTGCCTTTGGAGGGAATGGTGTGCCTCACGTAGTGGACAGATGAAGTGCTCCACTTCCACAAGGATTCAAAGGCCTTGTTAAGGTCCCTGGCATTTACACATTAGCTCCCTACAGAAACTCTTACAAATATCAACCCCACCAACCGCAGGGGAGGTCGTCTTACTTCCAGGGCCAACAGCTGGAATATCAGCTGCAGGGGATGCCCATCTTCCACCTCTTTGGCTAACCCAGCTTCCCCTGAGACAGCAGATTTGATGGGAGGCTTGAGAGTCACAACGGTGCTGATCTAAAGTCTATAACTACTTCAGGAACTACTTTGCCCCATTCCAACAGGCCCGCGTGGCTGTCACAGCTAACAAACAGCATTAGACAACATTGCCCAAGGCTACCTTGTACAGTTCCATTCACTACATTCTGCCTTCCCCATCCTGTGACCTTTCTCATAAGAGCCTGTTAAAACAAAAATGATCTCATTGCTTCATCTGGGAACCATAGTGGAGATACCATGGGAATAGAGATACAGTATTTCTTTATCCTGAAGAAGAGAAGGGATCTTTGTCCTACTCTACACCTGAGACAGATTCAGGATGGTAACACTTGTGTCCATCTCTGCAAGCCCAGGACTGGTTCATGGCTCTCAACTTGCAGGATCTGTACTTCCATATACCCAGCCAGCGCACAGGAAGTATCTAGGATTCATGTGGGGTCAAACTATTACCAATACTAGGTGGTGCTGTTTGGACCCTTTGCGGCCCTGAAAGTCTACACAGAATGCCTAATGATGGTAGCAGCACAGCTCAAAACAAAAAGCATCCACATCTATCCTTACCTGGACAATTGGCTGATTAAGGGTGGATCTCAGCAGGAATCTGCAGCACATCATCTCTCTCCCTATTCTCTCATCTGGGACTCCTAAAGTATGTCTGAATGGCACACTCCTGTTGGTGGGTTGTGCAGTAGACTCTATATGCCCTCCTACCACAGCACAGTGCGACACTGCTTAGGAAAGTAAAGTAAGGACAGGTCTAAACCCTATTGGTACGTATCCTACTTGCCCAAGCAGTGCCTCCCCTACATTGCTGTTTTTAGCAGTGTAGTGTCCCACTGCCTTCATGTTCCTGGAGTCTTTCCCCACCACAGGGAAAGGCTCCAGCAGTGAGAAAAAGCTGTCAGGGGTAGAGGCTGTGAGGAAAGACTGCAGCAGTTCCCCATTATTGGAGCCTTTCCCTGCTGCAGGGAGCTGCCAAAGCCTTTCCCCACTTTCTGCCCCCAGTCAGAGCTTTTCACAGACACGTGTAGCTACACACCACAGTGTGGACACGGCCTGCTTTTCACAGCTGTGTGTAGCTGCGCCTATCCTATAGACCGCTGCTACTGGTGTGCAGTGTAGATGTAACCCTGGTGAACTATGAAAAACAGTCTCTCATCCCATCACAGACAACAGAGTTCGTAGGAGCCCTGATTCCAGTTTGGCAAGAGCATCTCTTCCTGAAGAAATGCTCCTGCCCCAGCAATCACTGGTGCTTGACTGCAACTGTATAAATGTTTCTGGGGCTGCTAGGCCACATGTTGGCCCACATGTACATGACACTGCTTGGCAGACTTCACCTGCGACTGTTCAGCCTTTGTCTCAGGTAGCTGTATTCTCCAACAAAACACCAGATGAACAAGAAGATGATGGTCCTATTGCAGGTTGTCACAGAACTGAGCTACTGGAAGGAACCTGAAAAATGGGCTTGGAGGTGTTACCATTCTGAACCCCTCTTCCCCCTCCCCCCCCCCCACTACTTTAATCGCACACACATCAGGTACAGATTGGAAAGCCCACTGGATCATCTACAAAGGCAAGGAACTCAGATACTAGAGAATATGAGGTTCTACATCCATGTACTGGAGCTCACAGTCAGGCTAGCCCACATGGCCTTTCTATCTGTTCTTCAAAAACTCCACAGTGCAGATCCTAATGGATAACACCTTGTGCTGCACTACATAAACCGGTAAGGAGGCATCTGCTTGGCTCCTCACTGCCTGGAAGTCATCGGGCTCTAGCCATGGAGCCAACAAGGATAACCCTAATGCGTCTTCATCTCCTGAGTGTCACCACCAACCTAATGGCTTTCCTAAGCAGAGAATCAGTAATTACTTATGAATAGTTGTTTCATAAATTCCAAGACCAGAAGGTACCATTGTGATCATCTGATCCTCCTATGTAACACAGGAGATAGACCTCTCCCAAAATTTTTCCTAGAGTGTAGCTTTAATCTTCATTTAAAAATGGTCAGCAATGGAGTGTTCTGGAAGTCCATCATTGATCTGATATTCCTATGTTGCACCTTCTCTAAAAACCACAACATGTGAAAATTGGTAGTTTAGGTCAATAATCAGGGTAAATTTTGGAGGAGTGGGGTAGGGGATTTGAAGCCATGTCAACCAAGGTTTCTGAGAGAAGATGGCCTGGAAAATGAGCTATTTTTCAGGCCGCAAAAGTCTTCTGCCTTTTTTTTGGCCACTTAAAAAAAAGTTTGGAGGAGACATGCACCATAGTTTACTAGCCTCCCCGAGCGGAGATATAGTGCACAGTGCAAAATTTAGTGGAATAAGAAATGTTCATTTTGGAATGAGATGAGGATTTGGCAAGCTCCAGCAAGTTTAGTGCATTGATAAACAGGGCAAAGGCAGAGCCCGCTGCTTCCTTTTAAAAAAAAAAATTCTAGTCTTTTACCTAGCAATGAGATCTTCGCATAAAACCTGAACCCCAGAAGGCTGGACAGTGGAGAAAATGAATGTTTGCTTGTAGCAAAAGGTTCCTAAGAGGACATTTTACCTTGTGTCTAAGCGAGGGAGAGCAGGGGAAGCTCAAAAGGGCCAGACCTTGGCTACAAGTACTTCCTGAGCTGGGAGGCAGTGGGACTGCCTTAGGCCTGGTCTACACTACGGGATTAATTCGGATTTAGCAGCGTTAATCCGAATTAACCCTTCACCCGTCCACACTACAGAGCCAGTTAATTCGAATTAAAGGGCCCTTTAAATCGATTTCTGTACTCCACCTCGACGAACGGAGTAGAGCCTAAATCGATTTTGTTAATTCGAATTAGGGTTAGTGTGGCCGCACACCACCGAATTACTGTGTTTAAGTTAATGGGGTAGTGGGGCCGCACACCATCGAATTAATGTGGTTAAAAACCGAATTAAGGTGCTTAGTGTGGCCGCGCACAATCGAATTTATACAACCTGTTTCCCAAATTCGAATTATCTAAATTCGGATTAATCCTGTAGTGTAGACATACCCTTAGTTAGAGGAGTCTGGGTACCTGCTCTCCTCTGGTCCATTCAGGGAATGGAGTAGGCCACTGTTGGTAGTTGAGTCCAAGACAAACAGTCCCCCTGGAGACCGAGCAGCACAATGTCCTGGCTTCCCAGCATGAAGGCTGGCTGGCGTGAGACGTGTAACTTTAACTCCTGGCTTTCCAACACTTGGGTGCTGGTATTTAAATGACCTATCCAGGACATATGTGATGGTGGCCACAGGGTAGGTGGATGTGGCTACAACCTTAAATTTATTGGTGCATAACTATTCAGCACAAATATATGCCAGGTGCTTTAATAGCAAAGGCTGAACCTTTACCAAACCAAGAAAGAACCAGCTGAAAGGAAGCCTTTCTCTGGGAATGGGTGAAAAAACAGCAGGAAGTTTACAATGGAGGCCTACCTAGCTCGATTGAACTTTTGGTGAACTGAGGGGGTAAATAGCATGTTAGCTGAAATGAGAGGCCAGATTTCTACAAAGGGCACTGAGAGGATTAGGAACATGGGCAGGAAAGGAAATAAGTCAAGTTAGCAAAATGCAGCAGAGAAATAGAGAAAATTAATCTGAAACAGCTCCTGGATGGTAGGGCACAGGTGAGACACCAGTGTAGGAGTGAGCACTAAGGCCATGTCTACACTTACTGCTGCTCCGATCGATGCAGTGGTGTTGATTTAGCAAGTCTGGTGAAGACCTGCTAAGTCAATGGCAGAGCACTCTCCCATCAACTCTGGTACTCCAGCTCCCAGAGAAGAGTAAGGTAAGTCTGCAGGTGAACATCTCGTGTTATTGCTTAGGTCGACGTACCGCAATGTCATCAACTTCAGTTACGTTATGCACCTAACTGAAGTAATGTAACTTAGGTCTTGTCTACACTACTGTGGTAAGTCAACCTAAGTTAGGCAGGTGTGTGTAATGGGGTGAGGGGAAACTGACCTGAGGAGCTGAAAAATGAAATGCAGTATAGTGGAGCTGTGGGCTGCATTTGTTTTTTTTCCCCATTTTCTGTAAGATTTCAGTGTAAAGAATAAAAGGTCATCAAGAGTCTGAGACTTGGCACTGCCTGGGGAGGGAGGAAGGAAACTATGGGTGCAGCTGCATTGCTTTGCAGGCTTGGTCAAAGGCCGCCTATTCTTTTTGCTTTTCTCCTGCAGGTACATGCTGTATCATCTCACTCTGTACCTGTGTGGCTGGGATTAATTTTGAGTTGTCTCGCTATCCTCGCTATGTCTATGGGCTGCCAGAGGATATCAGCCATGGCTACGGCTGGTCCATGTTCTGTGCCTGGGGAGGCCTGGGACTTACTCTTTTGGCTGGATTCCTCTGCACGCTGGCCCCCTCGCTCAATGCCTCTCGTACTGCTGTACAGAAACCCAGACAGGAAAATGGAGCTGTGTGACCTCAAAGGGTGCAGGAGAAGAGACTCCAGCAAGCACAGCCTAGGTAAAGCTGTGGGTTAACAGCCCCATGGAGATGGCATTTCAGCCCCATTGCGGAGAGTGGTACACACCTGTGGAACAAACTAGGGATGTTAAAGGTTTTTGGCCAAGTCCTGGGGCAAATACGACGCTGTGGTTCTCCTGCTACAGAATTTCTGTCTTAGACTCTACGACAAACTGGGGTTAATGTCTTACTGACTAGCTCATTGATTTAAGAGGGAGTTTTTCTTTTATAAACAAGGGATTATCTCCTGTTTATTTGAAACACTAACTGCAGCTCTTTTGTTCTAGTCCAGTTGTGGAGGATTCTTGTCCATTATAAATGTGTAGCTGCAGAGTTTGTGTAACACTGACAGGAGGCTGAACACCCTTCCAACTGGCTTGCCCTCTAGCAGTTTGGCTCAGCCCTCCATCGTCCAAAAGAGCGTGGCTATCCAAATAGTGGTTAGGGCAATTCATCCATCCTCAGTATTGATTATGTAATGGGGGCTGCCAGTGGCCACTACTGAACTTGCTTGGAAAGACAGCAGGAGTTAAACAAACCAGCCTTCCCTTTCTGGGGGGAGGGGGGAGTTGGTCCTCTGCTCTCCATGTCAGTCACTTCTTTGAGTAAGCAGCAGCATCTGCCACCTAATGCACATGACCCTAGTTATGAGTGTGTGCAAAAGCTAGGAACAATAAGCTACAAGCACCATTCATGCACTGTGGAATTGTTCCACAAGGAGACAGAGTGGCAGTGGTTTCAGCTGCTGGGATCAACCTCAAGGACCCAGCTACCTTCTAACTGAGGTACATGACTCCTAACTGCAAGGAAAGAGCGCTCTCTGAAAAGAGTTACGAGCTTTTACTGTTGAGCTTAGAGGGAGACACATTGCCACCACAAAGATGGAGCAGTCACAGTAGCTTGTTGCAGTATATCCAGAAGATTTATAATTTATTTTCCCCAGAAAGCTTGGCTTATGCTCATTTCAAACACTGTCCCTGCATAGGCTTTGTCCCTAGTTGTCTGTCTAGAATGGGGGATACATCAGCTGTGCACAGTTCAATCACAAACCCACAGCTCAGTTGATGCCATGTCCTGTAACCAGCAGAGAACAAAACATTTTTTGGAGGAATGGATGGTGAGCAGCTTGTAACCCACATCAGCACTAGGGCTAACTCAGGAACATGAGCCAAGCTACTACTGCCAGGTAAAGTTTTCTTTCATACATCCCTCCTACTGCCCCCCCAACAAGGTGCACAGGCAGTGGGAGAGGGCTGTGTTTCTCTAACACAACTGAATGGCATGTAAGATAAGCAGTGCTAAAGTCAGTGTATTTATAAAGTGTCATTTTTAAATGGAGGCTGTGATTCTCAACTGGCATTAAAGTACTGAAAAACTTGTTTATTGGATGGATTGGTGAGTTATTTTCTTTCACAGCACTGCAGAGCAGTAACTACTCACTCCACCTCAAGCTGTATACAATAGTCATATTAACAGGTTGAGAAAGGGGTGTAACAGCCACCAAGAGGGAAGGATCCTGGGTGGAATTGGGAGCAAGAAAAGAACATTCTTTTGCAAAGGAGAAGTAAAGAGAGGCTTGTGGTAGGGAACAAGTACATGACCCTCACAAAAGACTGCTAAAGCCAGTGTAGAATTGGACAGGCTCTGCTTAGCTGTTTGCCTCCGCTGACTGCAGCAGTGAAAGGATTGTAGATATGTTGAGGACCTTGCATCCCTTTGGCCTGCAGCCAATGGTTGATTTAGATTACATTTACAACCCCTAAATATATCATTCCCTGTCACTCCTACTCCACAGCAAGTGGCTCTAAAACATAAGCAATTACTCTCACCCTAGGCTTTAAGCCTGTCCCAACCCAAGTAAGACTTCAAGGCCAATTTCACATTCATGGAGGGGATGAATTATTTTCCCTTCAAGTTGTAGCATTATGAACCTTATCTAGGCAAGGATTTTTTTTTTTGAAAGGAGGGGGAAAAAAAGCTTTATTTTTTTTCCAGCACATAAAATATGACCAAACAATCCAGTCTTAACCATCCTCTGTTTAGTCCAGTCCTCTCGAATTCCAGCCTGTCCAATTCTGCCAAGGCTACAATACCTGATTGCGGTGCAGAGATTAGGCATAGTATTGCAGATTGGCTTTTTTCTTGGCCTGAACCTCCAGGATTCCTTCCATGTAGTCCTCATGGGTGAGCTCTGTGGCTCCACGCCGAAGTGCGATCATCCCCTACCCCAACGAGAGAGAGAGAGTAGTTAAGGGACAGAACACTGGCTTGGCACCACATCAACCTGTCATAAATTACTCCATCCCACCCCAAGCTTTCCTCTTTCCACCTTCTTAGCATCTGCTGTGGGAGTCTGAGGGGGCAGGAAATAGGCTGTTAAGTGATACTCACCGCTTCCACACACACAGCCTTACACTGTGCTCCATTGAAGTCATCTGTGCAGCGAGCCAGCTCCTCGTAATTCACATCAGGGCTAAGAGAGAGAACAAAAAACAAACCCATAAAACCCCACACTGCCATTGAACAGCAAGGTGTGGAGTGTCCTTAAAGCACCCAGCATCAAGCTCTACACAGGGGAAGGAGCACCTCCAGCCCCAGGCTTAAGGAACAAAGATTTATGGTACTCTTTCCATAATGTCCCTCAATGAGCTGGGCTTCTCCTCTTTCATACCTGACATTCATCTTGCGTGAATGGATCTGCATAATCCTAGCTCTGGCCTCTTCATTGGGCATCGGGAACTCAATTTTGCGATCTAGGCGTCCAGACCGGAGCAGAGCAGGGTCCAGGATATCCACACGGTTGGTTGCAGCGATCACCTACAGAGGAGCAAGAATATCAGCCTGAGGCTCCTGGGGGGCAGATACTCTGTTCTGGGCTCCCCTGCCTAGCAGGATGAACCAGCTCCCTTGTGCCATGAGATCACCTTCCTCATGAAGGGCTTGCAACCCCCCATAGAGCCCACTGTGGCTTAACAACAACAGAGCTGCCTCTTGCAGGGAGAGAGTTACCTTGACTTGTGTGTTGGGTTGGAATCCATCAAGTTGGTTCAGAAGCTCCAGCATGGTCCTCTGCACTTCCCGGTCTCCAGCCTTCTCGCTGTCAAATCTGGAGAAGGAATACAGGAAACTGAGTCAACTCTGCTCATGCCTGTAACTCCCCCAGGTGCCCTCATCCACTTATACTGCCCCAACACCAGCCTCCCTCCCCCTCTTTCATGTTTTGATCTTCCAAAATGTACATGGGCATCATTTGGGTCTCACTGGGCCCAAACCATTTGCATTCAAGCCAGAAAGGGTTAATATTGTCTATGCCAGCGTGATAAGTGTTAATAGCATTAGTAGGTGCCTGCAATCCTGATTTGCACTGAGGCAGAACCACCATTTACTGGTAATAAATAGGATCCTTATCCTTGTGGCTCTCGCTGCCCAGCCCCAATAGCTATGCAACAGACTGAGCTGGCAGGAAGGATCAAATCATTCATACAGGAAACAAATATGCTTTTGAAATGATCCCACCCACTAGATTGGGTTTACTGCACACAGATAGAGACGCACCCTAAAACTCCCCACCTACCCCACAATCCTGGGAGTTCACTCCAGTTCTTACAGCATGGCCTGCAGATCTCACCTCTTGGTGCCAATGGCATCCAGCTCATCAATGAAGATGATAGAAGGAGCTTTCTCCTTGGCCAGCGCAAAGGCATCTCGCACCAGCTTGGCGCCATCTCCAATGAACATCTGCACCAACTGTGGGCCAGCCAGCTTCAGGAATGTTGCCTGGAGGGTAGAGAACAAGTCAGTTACACAGCTCCTTCGCCCACATTGCACCAACTCTCTGCTCTCTTACAGCACAGGTTGGAGCCTATCATGCCTTACCCTAGAGCCGGGGTTCCCAAACTGTGGTACATGAGGCATTTCTGGGGGGTAAGTGGGAGAAATTGTGTAATGGTGGATTATTTTATTTATTGCATTTTCATAATAGGCTACTCAGACAAAGCTTTAAAACTCCGTGGGAATTTGTTATATAAAATACAGTAGTTAATTGACTTCAAGATGTACCAATGAGAACACAGATACACAGAGATGCTGACATCCAGACTCCTCATCTCCAATCACCGTATAGCGCAGGTTCAGTTGCCCAGCAACTGTCCAGTCTAACTGAGCTTATAACTTGGTCAGGGTTTTTTTCTGGTGGTATAATGTCACACTATATCTGTACATAAGAGTGAAATATGGACAGATGGCTAAAGACAGGTAATGTTAAGAACACCACACAAAGTATCAGTGATGAGAAGGGTAGGGGTACACGGTCAGCTGGTAGATCTGGAAGGGGGTACGCAATAAGAGTTTGGGAACCTCTGCCCTAGGGGAATTCTGTTACTCCCTAGTGGGGCAGGTCTGTGCACTCAATCCCTCTTACCTTTGTCTGGGCAGCACATGCTCTAGCTAAGAGGGTTTTCCCTGTTCCAGGTGGCCCATACATGAGCACTCCTTTGGGGGGCTGGATACCCAGGTTTTCAAACTTCTCCTTATGATTCATTGGCAGGACAATGGCCTCCACTAGCTGCAAGGACAGAAAAACATTAAGAAAAGAAAACTTTTTCCATCAGAAACTCTGATGCTAATCCAGTCCTTAAGCTAAAATCCCTAACCTCCCACCCTGTGGATCCAGACTGCCTCAATTCCAAACTGAAATGCAGGGGAAAAATCTACCTGTAGGGATCATGTTATTCACAGACTGGATTCTAAGTACTTCTATGACCCCATTACTCATAGTATCTGAGTGCTTCACAATCTTTAATGTATTTATCCTCACAACACTCCTATGAGGTAAGGAAGTGCTATTATCCTGACTATATATATGGGGATCAGAGACACGGCGAGACTAAGTGTCTTGCCCAAGGTCACAAAGGAAGTCTGTGGAGGAGCAGGAAATTGAAAGTGGGATTCCCTGACTAACCACTGGACCATCCTTCCTCCGCTTGTCACCTCTTGGATCTGTTTATCCAGCCCCCCGATGTCGCTGTACTGCTCTGTGGGCCTCTCATCCACCTCCATGGCTTTCACTCGTGAGTCATATTCAGTAGGTAGGGTCTCCAGGATCAAGTAAGAGTCCTTGTTCACACCCTGCAAACACAAAGGCAATAACTTAGACTGAAAAGTTTTTGATAAAGGCCCTTTCAGGCAACAACTAAGGAAGATAGTTCACCTACAGATGATACACCGGGTCAGGATATTATAGAGGTAAATAGCTCATGCATCAGGACTCAGTAAAAAAAAAAAAAAAAAAAAAAAAAATTAAAAAAAAAAAGATGCAGTTCTGTGACATGACGGGTTCTTAATGTCTGGATGAGTTAAAGACTAGTAAGGAGTCTAGGCTTTAACTTGACATGATAAAGGCAAGGAGTTTATCAAGGTATTCGGGTGCTTAAAAATGCACATAGGCACCTAGTGGGATTTACAAAAACAACTAAGCAGGCTAATGTGCTTAAGTCCCATTGACTTAAATGGGAGTTAGGCATCCAACTCCATATTTAGGCACCTAAATGCCTTTGTAAATCTGGCCCAATGTGCCTTGTCTACACTAGACTTTTCAAATGCATTAGTTAACACAAGCTAATATCTCACCATTAAATTCTTGTCCAAACAAGGCCTTATAAAAAATCTGCTTAGATCATTTCCTCATGAGAATCTAAGCCAGCCAAATACCAGATTTCCTGGCTAACACCATGTGATCAATATTTGCCAGTTACATTGCAACCACTCACCACTAGGTCTCCAGGCTTTAGCTTCTCTGCATCAACTAACCCGATCACAGGCAGGAAATATGTCTGTGGGGAAAGGAATCAATGTAAGCACAGCAACCAAACAGGGCTAGATCCCCTACCAGCACTCCCCACACCTACACAGGTTCATGGCTCTTACCTGGCGAGTGGAGGTTTTAATCACAGCACACTTGCCCTTCCTCTGGGAATCTAGATCAATATTTGCTCCATCCTCTTCCTGGTCATTGGGGTCAACATCCAGTAGCTGAAGACCAGAAGAAAAGATATCATTAGAAGCAGAATCAGGCCAGTCTAACCATCCCACCCCTGGATCACATCTCAAGGTTTCTGATATTGGGTTCCTAGCTCAAAATCACAAAAAGCAGTGGAAACTAAACATCCCACTATCTACCATCATCCACCAATGGTAGGATTATGCCTGTAGTTAAAACCCCTGAGAGAATTTAGAGATTCCTGAGTAGTAGAGCTCCCTGTCATAGCAACAAGGCAACAGCACAGGGGAAGGCACTGCAAAATCCTGGGGAACAGGAGTGGTGGCTAGAGGGGGGGTGTAACCCCCCCATTCCAGTATAACAAACCAATGCTAGTATCACATAAATTGGTTGAAACAATATTAAAGAATTATGAAACACTGAGAAAGACAGATACAAACTAGCACAACTACTGGAAAAGAAAATTGTGCCTCACTAATCTATTAGAATTCTTTGAGCATGTCAAAAAATTACAGATAAAGGAAAACCAGATGATATTTATTTGGACTCTCAAAAGGCTTTGACAAAGTCACTCAAAACAGTCTACTAAGAAAACTAAGTAGTTGGGGTGCAGGTCAAAATACTGTTGTGAATGAGAAAATGGCTAAAGGGACAGAATTGTAGTTGGGCAGGAGGAGTCCAAAAATCACAAGACAAAAACATGGATTTAATCTGTCTTCGGGCATCTGACTCAGTTTTTGAACTGTGAGGGGTTGAAATAATGGAGAAAACAGAAGAGCAGGAATAAATGATCAGATTCTTCAAAGCAAAAAGGTTAACAGGGAATCCACAAGGTACCATACAAGGACCAGTTTTATTTAATATTGATCTGGAAAAATAGGTGAGCAGAAAGGTGGCAAAATCTACATATGAAATAAAATTATAGAAGACTGCAAGGAACTTCAGAGAATCTTAAGGCTAGGTCAATGACATTCCCCTTAGTGTTCATCTATTCACAAAAATTGTACCACTAACTATACAGATATAGTTAAAGTGATAACCTCCCTAAAGTGGATGCAGTTATACCAGTATAAAAATGCTTACATCATTATAGCTTATTTCCATAAGAGAAGGGGAATAAGGTATATCAGGGTATGACTAACTAGAAACATTATAGCAGCATAGTACAGCTGCTACTCCTGAGGGCATTCTATGCCAAAAAATTAAAAATTCAGCAAAATTTGTCAAATAAATGTGGAGCCTCCAGCATGGCATTGGGGAGCACAGGCCACAGGCTTCACAGAGGTGAGAGATCACTGTGCAGCTCCCACCCCCCAGACTCAGCAGTGAGGCTGCACATAATCCTGCCACAGCGCAAGGACTAGGCCTGCCACAGAAAACCCCCAGGGCCCTGCCCCTCTGTGCCAGTGCACCAGGTGTCGGACGACAGTCTCAGCAAGGCAGGATCCAAGTGTGGGTTGAGAGGGTTCTGTCTGTGCGGGGCAATCTCGGTGCGGGCAGCTCAGTGGAGGATCTGGTTGGGGAGGGTGGAGGAGAGATCTGGATGCACAGGGGCTTGCTGGGGGGTTCTGGGTGTAACGGTAATGGAACTCTGCAGGGAGGTCCAGGTGAAGGTGGTTGGGGCTAAGCAGGCTGGGGGGCTCCATGGGGGGTCCAGATCCTGGGGGGGTGGGGTTCGTCAGGGTGGTCCAGAGTGTGTGTGTGGGGGTGGATGCTTGGTGGGAGGGTCTGGGTATGAGGGGGTCTGGATGCATGGGGATTGGGCAGATGGGGGAGCAGCTCCAGGTACAGGGATCCCTCCCCCTGCAGCTGAGGAGCAATGGGTGCAGGAAGCATGTGTGGGGGGGGGGGGCGGGGTTTGCAGAGCTTCCTGCAGATGGGGGAGAAAACTGGGGGTGGGTCTGACCCGGCCCCGGATGCCGTGCAGGGGAAGAGGAAGTCCCGTCCTCCCCAGCCCAGCCAGGACTAGCAGCTGAACCCGGCGCAGGGTTGGAGCCACCAGCCGGGTCTTCCCCAGACCCACCCTCCTTCCCCTGTCCTGTGATTTACCTCTCTCCTGGCTGCCCTGGGCACCCAAAACATACTGCTGGGGAGGAGCACATGACCACTCTTATGGCTTCCCTTTGCTTCCCTGTCAGAAAGTCATTTTTCTGTGGGGAAGCAAAGAAATCTGTGGGGGATATAAATTCTGTGCATGCGCAGTGGCACATAATTCGCCCAGGAGTAAGCTGCGCCGCTGCAGTGCTTCAGTGTAGACAATTGCTGCAACAGAAGGAATTCTTCTGTTGCTGTAGTAAATCTACCTCTGAGAGGTGATAGGTAGTGTTGGCTGAAGAATTCTTCCGTTGACCTACTGCTGTTTACACCATGGCTTAGGTTGGCTTAATGACATCTCTCAGGCGGTGAATTTTTCACACCCCTGAGGGATGTAGCTTGGTTAGCCTAACTTCCTAGTGTAGGTCATCCCTCAGTATAATCACTTTTATACTGATGGAACTGCACCTACACTAGGATGTTGTACCACTAACTATTTCAGTTGAAAAATTACACCCCTAATCAAAATAGTTAAATCAGTACAAAAAGTGTGTGCAGACCAAGCCTTACACATCAATATCTGCTAACTATTTCCATTTTAAAGATTGGGAAACAAAAAGAGGAAGTCACTGGTCCCAACTTACATTGATTCACTACACACAGTCCTCTGCTCCAGCCACTGACCCCCCAAGCCCAATTAGTGAAGGCACCTCTTAAAATTAAAAGCTGTGCACCCAATAGGGTATCACTCCTTACATTACTCCAAAAGGGCACAACACTCACCTCAATGACATTGGAAACAAGGTAAGGCAGGGTTTTGTTCACTTTGATCTTCTCACTGTTCTCTTTGATCTTATCTTTCATGGCCTGCAGCTCATGGGTAACTCTCAGCACCTCACTCTTCATTATCTGAAATCAGCACAAGTTAGGATTAACCTTAGCAGAACAAAGAAACAAATACAGACATGCATCACACAATCAGAAGATCAGAATGAATCCTAGGAGACAGTTTGGAAGAAGGAGGGGAAAATGTTAGGGCAAAACAGATTAGGCTAAATGGTGTGACTTCAGGGATTGAGGTACACAGCCCTTCACCATTCTGGTCTCAACTCATCAGTGCCCCCAAAATCATTTCCTCCTGATGCTGTCTGAAGAATTCTAAAACTACTCAGGAATTGAAGGGAGGAGACGACTGTTTTGGAAGAATTGTTTTCAGATGTTATTCCCATCAGTTGGCACATTCAAGCCCCACACTTGTTCCTGCATTTAGGGATTGGAGAATTTGAAAATCACTTTTAAAACAGTTTCCGGATGCTGGACAGGTTAATGTTGATCAGCCTGGAATATCAGTCCTGCCTCTTGCACAAAACTCCTTGAAGGCAACTCAGAGAGATCTCACTGAGTGCATAAAAATTGGAAAAAATGCTTAAAAATAAAGATTAATACAATTTTGGTGGATTGTATTGAACAAAATAATCAAATTCTGCCTTGCTATCTATAGTGCTGCCTTATCTGCTCACTTTCTGCCTCCAGAGGAAGAGGCTGGTATCCCTGGAAAACACCATGATATCGACTAATCTCTATGAGTCTACTTAGATCTGAATTAACGGATTTCTATTCAATGGCAAACTCATCCTTCCCTCAAATTCACCATCTTTAGATTGTAAACTTCTCAAGGCAAGGAACAGTTTCCTTTGACATTTCTCCAGTGCAGAGCACAACACTGCTCTACATCAACGATAATTTTTAGGTCTGTCAAGCGATTAAAAAAAATTAATTGTGATTAATCACTGTTAAACAATAATAAAATACCATTTATTTAAATATTTGTTGTTTTCTACATTTTCAAATACATTGATTTCAATTACAACATAGAATACAAAGTGTACAGTGCTCACTTTATATTTATTTTTGATTATAATACAAATACTGTAATGCAATCTCTTTATCATGAAAGTTGAACTTACAAATGTAGAATTACACCTCTACCCCAATATAACGCGACCCAATATAACACGAATTTGGATATAACGCGGTAAAGCAGTGCTCCGGGGGGGGGGGGGGCTGTGCGCTCCGGTGGATCAAAGCAAGTTCAATAAAACGCGGTTTCACCTATAACGCGGTAAGATTTTTTGGCTCCTGAGGACAGCGTTATATCGAGGTAGAGGTGTATGTACAAAAAACCTGAATCCAAAAATAAAACAATGTAAAATTTTAGAGCCTGCAAGTCCACTCAGTCCTACTTCTTGCTCGCGCAAACAAGTTTGTTTACACTTGCAGGAGATAATGCTGCCCACCTCTTGTTTACAATGTTACCTGAAAGTGAGAACAGGTGTTCTGATGGCACTGTTGTAGCCGGCGTCACAAGATATTTATGTACCAGATGCGCTAAAGATTTATGTGTCCCTTCATGCTTCAACCACCATTCCAGTGGACATGCGTCCATGCTGATGACAGGTCCTGCTTGATAACCATCCAAAGCAGTGCGGCCCAATCCATGCTCATTTTCATTATCTGAGTTAGATGCCACCAGCATAAGGTTGATTTTCTTTTTTGGTAGTTCGGGTTCTGTAGTTTCCGCATCGGAGTGTTGCTCTTTTAAGACTTCTGAAAGCATGCTCCACACCTCATCCCTCTCAGATTTTGGAAGGCACTTCAGAATCTTAAACCTTGGGTCGAGTGCTGTAGTGATCTTTAGAAATCTCACATTGGTACCTTCTTTGCGTTTTGTGAAAACTGCAGTGAAAGTGTCCTTAAAATGAACATGTGCTGGGTCATCATCCGAGACTGCTATAATATGAAATATATGCTATAACATGAAATAGATGGCAGAATGCAGGTAAAACAGAGCAGGGGACATACAATTCTCCCCCAAGGAGTTCAGTCACAAATTTAATGAACTTTTTTTTAAATGAGTGTTATCAGCAGGGAAGCATGTCCTCTGGAATGGCAGCCGAAGTATGAAGAGACATACGAATGTTTAGCATATCTGGCACGTAAATACCTTGCAATGCTGGCTACAAAAGTGCCATGCAAATGCCTGTTCTCACTTTCTGGTGACATTGTAAATAAGAAGAGGGCAGCGTTATCTCCTGTAAATGCAAACAAACTTGTTTGTCTTAGCGATTGGCTAAACAAGAAGTAGGACTGAGTGGACTTGTAGGTCTGAAGTTTTACATTGTTTTGTTTTTGAGTACAGTTATGTAACAAAAAAATCTCTACATTTGTAAATTGCACTTTCACAACAAAGATTGCACTACAGTACTTGTATGAGATGAATTGAAAAATACTATTTCTTTTGTTTGTCATTTTTACAGTGCAAATATTTGTAATAAAAATATACAATTTGATTTCAATTACAACACAAAATATAATATATGTGAAAATGTAGAAAAACATCCAAAATACTTAAACAATAGACTACCAATTGAAATTTATTAACAGTGTGATTAAAACTATGATTAATTTTTTTAAATGCGATTTTTTTGAGTTAACGGCGTGAGTCAACTGTGATTAATTGACAGCCCTAATAATTTTCTAACACTGTATGATTATGCTACAGTGAATCTACAGAAATTTGCTTATGACATGATACAAGCATAGGTGCTAGAACCAGAGGTGCTGCCGCACCCCTTGGCTTGTAGTGGTTTCCATCATATACAGGGTTTAGTTTGGTTCAATGGCTCTCAGCACCCTCACTATACAAATTGTTCCAGCACTCCCGGATACAAGCATCTGGAGATGTGATTTAGAGAAATATTAAAAGATAAATAGTAGGGTGGATAAAAATTGTTTGTTTTGTTATTTAAGTTATCGTAAGTTTTCTTTTTTAAAATAAACCTGTTTAAAAAAATCTGAATATAACACAAAATATGTTAAGACTGAAATTTATTATAATCTCTTCAGACATTTAAATAAAAATTAAATATGCTGACACCACGAGCCTCTATCAAAAACTGTGTGTTAAAGGCTGGTTTTCTATATATAGAAAAAAGCGACAAAGAGTCCTCTGGCACCTTATAGGCTAACAGACTGTTAGTTTATAAGGTGCCTCAGGACTCTGTCGCGTTTTACAGATCTAGACTAACACGGCTACCCCTCTGATACTATATATAGAAAGAATCTAGGAATATAGGAAAAGCATCTAACTTTTGAGATCAAGCTTTACAAATATAGCACAGCAGGTCATGTACTATATTAAGATCCCGTGGGAGACCCAGGGACTGTATTACTGAGTACAAGAGACTGGCAAAGTTGTCACAGGCATTGGAATCTGGCCTCTCACTCCAGGAAACCCCATCATGTATCTTATCAGGATCATCACTTAGCCCACCTGGATAGTCTCAGACTACTATTTTATAGCTTCTTCCTACCTGAGCTCCGATTGCCTCAGTTCTCAAATTAGGAATATTTATGACTCCACCCACCACAGAAACTTGTCTTTCCATGAGCTGGAGAGTACTGACTGATCTACCCAGTAAATAATAGCCCTTGTTTCTGGATGGTTCTGGACACATCAAGTAACATTCTCCTTCAATATCTACTAGACAGATACAAACAGAAATCCATTAATTTCTCAACTGCCTCCATCTTCATGGTTAAATTAAAAAAAATACAGCAGTGTAAAAGGTATCTGAGTTATATGAGCAGAAGATTTGGTTTGTTGTTAGTTTTTTTGTTTTTCAGAGGGAGGGGAGTTATGTAACAAGGGAGAAAGAACAGTATGTGCAACCAGAGAGGAGCAACGTGGTGTCAGAGCAAGACACCATGGTAAGAAAAGACAACATTCTTCAGAGTGTGGCCTCTAGCGTTGATTTCGTCACCTGGGAACTGGAGGAAAAAACTTCCATGGCTGCAGGTCATAAAAAAGACCCTATTTGGGAATATTTTCAAAAAATTATGGTACCTCTGGGTAAAAAAGGAATATGTGCCGAGTGTAAATAGTGCAACAAAGAAATGCAAGGCCTACTTGTCAGAGTGAAACATGAAAAATGCTCCTCAAAAGGCAGTGACTTTGAAGATGATGTGGACATGTCTGAACAATTTGTATCAACCTATTAGTAAGCTTATTTTTGCATCATTCTTATGGCCTGCCCACTGTGTCCTACTATGCTAATAAAGAACAGATTATAATAAGTGTGTGTTTTGGGTGTATTGCTTATTTTCAAAATGTTTGTGTTCAAAATATAATTGGTATGTTAGTTTGTTGTGGGAATATTTATCAATTACATTTCACTGTTATTGCTGGACTTCTGAAATGATTTTTTATTGTTCAATATAATAAAATATCCTACCTGGAGATTTCCTATTTAAAAGTCATGTTTTACCAGGCATTTATGAGTTTTAACATTTAAAAATGTGGGGTTTTTTCCCCCAAGCTGTTTGGTATGTTGCGAGGAGACAAGGGTTTAAATGGATTTAAATTATCCTTATAATTTAATAATTATTTTCCCTATAAAACTGGGTCTATAATAAAAATATTTTAAAAGTGGTACAAAGATGCAGCAGGAGGAATCTTTCATTTACAATCTCATTTTTTAAAAGCAGTATGCTGAGTAATACTCAATGATTAACAGTGACTAAAAAAAAACAAAAAACAAAACAAAAAAACCCACACACCATTTTGTTTCAGGAGCCAGCTTAGATGTATGGTGTTATGAACAGCCAACATCTGCAATGTCTAATATTTCGTATGCAACCAAACATATCTCAGACAGTAAATTACCAATATAATCATCCAGTAAAACCATGAATGAGTTTGCAATCAGAACCAGCAAATTCCAGCTGGACTCCATAGATTGCTCAGGTGACTTATGTAACAAGTTCTCCCTTTCGTCTTGTTCAGAACAAACATTTCACTGACATGGTTCAATCATTACGACCAAGCTACACTCCACTCGGCAGAGCAGACATTGCTAGATAGTAGCTGGATATAGTGTATGAGAAGGAAATTGAACAGTGTACAAAAAGATATTGATGGAAAATTTGTTAATCTGAGTCTTGATGGGTGGAACAATGTGCACAATGATCCAGTAATATGTGCTTGTTTGACAACAGAAGATAGGGTTACTATTTTACAGAAACAACTGATACATCAGGAAATCCCCCCCCACAATACAACAGAATACATAAAAAATAGCAGTAAAAGCTATAAAAAAACTGAACAAAAATTCAAGTGTCAAGTGCATAGCTTTGTCACACACAATCCTGCAAATGTAGCAAAGATGAGAAAAAACATAGAAGAAAATAATGCAGAGAACCTGAAACTTACAACATATGGGTGAGGTATTCATTTGATTAATCTTTTAGCCAAAGACTTAAGTACAACTCCAGGAATAAAGGAAAATAACGTTGAAATAGCAAAATACTTCTGTAACAATCACTTTGCTTCAGCACCACTGAAGACAGCAGGAGGATACAAACCAGTTCTCCCCCAAGACGTACAATGGTATTCAGTGGTTAATTGTTTCAAGCTATTTATTAAGAACTGGCCTATTCTGATGACAATTTGTGAAGGAAATCATGATAGAGATGGAACTACCACAGCCAAAGTAGTCAACCTTAGACTAAAGAGAAATGTAGAAGATATGCTGAATATACTAAACCTATTTCCATAGTCATGGACAAAATTCAGAAAGATTGCTGCTGTATTGATAATGCTGTTGAAAATTTGAAAAAACTTCAAGACACTGAAGACAGAAATACCCTGCAACAAAGTTAAATTACAGGCAATAACGAAGCGGATTGATCAAGCACTTACTCCATCTCATTTTCTCACTAATATTCTCAAACCAAAGTACCAGGTTAGAGGTCTAACTGCTGAAGAAGATGCTGCTATGACATGTGCATCTAATTATCACCCATCAATCAGGCCAACCATAATAAATTGCAGGGTGGGAGGTGAACCATTCAAGCATGCATGTTTGCTAATATTTTAAAAAAGGTCACACCACTGAACTGGTGGAAGTCTAAGCTAAGCATTAGCTAAGCACATGAAACACGTGTTTTTGAAGTGCTAAACCAGCTTTTGACAGCAGTAACCTCTTCTGAAGGCACAGAAAGAATATTTTCTCCATTTGGACTAATTCATTTAAAACTGAGTAATCGATAAGAATTAAAAAAGCAGGAAAAATCTTGTCTTGCCCTTCCAGCCTCAGAATAAAAACAAGGAGGGAGGGGATGAGATCTACTAGTAACTTGGGAGACTGTTGTCTCATATTCAAGAGACATAGGAGAGTAGGAACTTAAACTCCAATCATATTCTCTTAGGCATATTTGAAAATTTTCCCAGGCTGACCTGAAATAATCAGTTTAATTCACTGACTACATTTAATCCCTCTTGTTCCTAGTAGTAAATATGAAACACATTCTGATAAGAGCAATTTGTGTATCCAAAACATTTAAGGTTGCTTTCTTTAATAAAAATAAATGTTATATGCTGTTTTGCATGTTTAATTAAATTCCAGTTACCATCCTGGTGCAACATGACACAAACCATAAGCAAAAAGTTAATATCTAGTAAATAAGCATCATTCGCCATTTTCTAAGATACCAAAAGTGTACAACTGATAAGAATCTGAAAATAATAAACGTATATAGCTACAGTGTACCTTTCTAGTTAGCAAAAAGATGCAGTAAATCTAGCGTAAAGGCTCTGCTTAGTTGTAAATCAACATTTTAATGGTTATACCAACCAATGAGACTGCAACGTTATTTAGAAATTAACTGAAGTACAAATGGAAAAGTTTATTAAAATTGATTATTTTAATTGAGGCTTTCCACTTGGAAATTTAAACTGCCTTGATTTAAATCAATCCATCCTGAAAAATAGCATGCTGAACATTTAGTGTAAGAGAAAGTAAGGGCTCGATGGAGAGATTTCTGCCACCTTAACATTGGTGGCAATACTCTGATACACAGAGGACTATTTAGGCTCCTCTTTACTCTGTTCCACTATACAAGAACAAGGGACACCAGAATTAAAAGTGGCAAAGTTCAAATGGATAAGAGGAAATGCAGTCAAAATCAGAATTAATCTGCAGAACTTGAAGTATCAGGAGGCACTTTGGAGGCACACGGGAGCATGTTGTTTTATATGTTTCGAAAGAGGATTAGACATTTATTTCAATGTTCCTAGCACTGCACAGTCACAACAGTTGTACTAAAGGTACAAGGGCTCTTCGTCCACGTGTTTCAGTGCACACACTGATCAGCACTTGGGGTCTGGAACAAGTGCCCCCCCCCCCCCACCATACAGTAGGGCACATCTAGGAGCACTAAGCAGGCTTTTATGACTTCTTCTGAAGCACAGGAAACAAAGGATAGGAATAAATGGTCAGTTTTCACAATGGAGAAAGGTGAATAGTGGGGTCCCTCCAGGATCCATACTGGGACCTGTGCTGTTCAACATATTCATAAATGACCTGTAAAAGGAGGTGAATAGCCAGGTGGTAAAATTGGCAGACAATACAAAATTACTCAGGATAGTTAAGTCCAAAGCCAACTGTGAAGAGTTACAAAGGGATCTCACTAAACTGGATGACAAAAACGATAGATAAAATTCAATGTTGATAAGAAATAAATAATCCCAACTATACATACAAAGTGATGGGGTCTAAATTAGTTTTTACCACCCAAGAAAGAGATCTGAGTCATTATGGATAGTTTCCTGAAAACATCTACACAATTTGCAGGGACAGTCAAAAAAGCTAATAGTGATAGGAACCATTACGAAAGGGATAGATAATTAAACAGTAAATATTATTTAGAATATGTTGCAGAGAAGGGTAACAAAAATGATTATGGGGAGGGACAGCTTCCATATAAGGAGAGATTAAATGCCTGGGACTGTTCACCTTAGAGAAGAGACTACTAAGGGGAGGGGGGGCAATATGATAAAGGTTTATAAATTCATCAATGCTATGGAGAAAGTGCGTAGGGAATTGTTATTTATTTACCCCTTCATATAGCACAAGAACTAAGGGTCACCCAATGAAATTAATAGGCAGCAGGTTTAAACCAAACAAAAGGAAGTACTTCTTCACAAAATGCAGAGTCAGCCTGTGGAACTCATTGCCATGGGATGTTGTGAAAAAAGAATTAGATAAATTCACAATGGCTATTAGCCAAAATGGCCAGAGATGTAACCCCATGCTCCGGGGTGTCCTTAAACCTCCCACTGCCAAAAGCTTGGACTGTACTTCAGGGGCTGGACCACTTGAAATTACCTTGTTCTGTTCACCTCCTTAGAAATCCCTGGTACTGACCACTGTCAGAGATAGGATACTGGTCTAGATAAACTGTGGGTTTGACTCAGTATGGCCATTCTTATGTTCTAATTCAAGCTGCTACTACAAATGATAATACTGAACGAGAACAGTGATCCCCAAACTGCCAATGGGGCAGAGGCTAAGAGTAGAGCTGAGGCCAGCAGCTGGGGCCCCAAACCAGCGGGCAAGGTGCCAACAGCTGAGGCCAAGAGCTGGGTGGTGCTTCTTCCTTGCCCCCCAAACATTCCCACCCACAGTTTGGGGACCTTTGAACTAGAAGAACTACAACCTTTTCAAACCCCTTGAACTATTACAAACTCCTGAACAATGTCTCCACTTCTTATCTCCCTCAGCACTCAAGACTTTTTACTCCTTACTTGGCTGTTCTCAACTAACTATATCCTGTGTAGTACACTCATCTCTGCACCTAGAATTTGCTCAAAGTCCTTTTGAAAATGTACTTCTTCCAAAATGGTCTACAAGCCCAGGCCTTCCTCCCAAGTGTCAGCAAAATACTGAAAGATAATATTTTAAAATTCGAAACAACATTAATGGCATTGGCAACCCACCTGCCAATTCCCCTGCCACAGTTCCTCACTTGCTAACTATCCATTTATATCTTATAATTTCCAGGGACTTTGTAAAGTACCAGGTGCAGAGAGCAACAATTTGCTTCTAATAAATATAATTCCCACGTCATCATTTCATTATAAATCAACATAAATTCAGTCCTGGCTCTAGGTCTCCCAAAACATCTTCCTTTATCCTTGTCTTTACACTGCAGACTCCTTTTGAATCTTGTGTACAGCAGAAGGCAGCACAGTACAGTACATCAGCAGCACTTAACAGAAATAAAAGGAGCGGTGCAGGCAGCAGTAGGGCATGGGAAGTGGTGTATGGGGCAACGGGGGCATACTCCATGCCTCCTGTGGGGACACTCTAGGGGAGTAGTAGGTGTACCTATAGGGGAAGGCAGAGACGTAGGGGAGCTCTCAAGAGCAGTGGGGGATGCTCAGGGAACAGGCATGGGGCGCTACCTCCCAGGGGTGGCACAAGCCTCTTCCTGATGTGTGTAGGAGGAGGCGGCTGAAATGGACCAGACAGAAAATTAGGGGGGCTGGGTCCCCCTTGCCATGAGGCCCTGCCCCCCTCCGTGGTTCCGCCCCCTGGCCAGGGCGGAGGCCAAAATCCGGAGCCGGACATGCCAATGCAGGGCACTAGCTGCTCACAGCCCTGAAGAGCTACCTGGACGGGGGACCCGGCTCCAGGCTAGCAGAGCCCTCCGGGAGCAGTGACCGCAGGGGACTGGGCCCAGGAGCCCCGGGATCTTCCACCGGCCCTGGGCGGCGCGTCCCAGTCTACGGGGACATGGGCAGGGGCTGCTCTGGCTCCCGGCTGGACTTCTCTGCTGCTGCTAGAACTAGGTGCCCGGCCAGCAGCCCCCGCTCCCGCCGCTCTGCCTTCAGAGCTGGGCGGGGGAGCGCGACAGCGGCTATGCGGGGAGCTACAGCCCCCACACCCGCTGCCACCTCACCTTGATCTCGCTGTCGAGCAGGCGGGTTCGCTGCACAATCTCCTCTGTGGACATTTTCAGCACCTCCTCGCCAACGCCGTCCTGCGGGGATACAGAGTCACCGTCACCGGCCGCCAGGCAGCCCGGGCCCCTCACGCCCCGGCCTCGCCAGCCGAACTCACGGGGACGGGTCACGGCGCTACCTCGACTCGACTGGGGGGGGGGGGCGGCTCCCTGAGGGGAGGGGAAGGGACCAGGGTCCCAGGGCTGGTGCCCCCGAGTTCGGAGTCCCGCCCGCTCCCCAACCTCCCGCCCGGTGCCCGGCCCCTCACCTCAGCCTCATCCCAGACTGACGCCATCTTGTCCTAGACGAGTGGCCGGGAAGGTAAACAAGGCTCCAGTCGGGGAGAGCAGATTCCGTCCGCCCGCCCCGCCCCCACGCTCCTTCACTCTCCCCTGCCCGCCCTCAGTCGAATCTGTCGTGCGAAAAAAAAAAAAACCCCGCGGCCTCCGATTAGTCACGTGACATCACCCAAATCTGCTGAGTGATGTCCTCACCGCCATCTTAGTGCGGGGGTCGGGGCGTGGCCGCTGCACGACCCGCCTCTCCTCCCCGGGCGGTAGCGCAGGCGCTGTGCCCAGCCGGCGGGCGGGGAGGGTGTTCCCCAGGGCAGAGGGAGTCGCTCGTGTGGCCCCTCCCCCCGGGCACGAGCAGAGCCAGCTGGGCGTGGGTGCAAAGACTTTATTTGCAAATACAAACAGGTGGGTGTAAATATAGCGCGTGCGCGGCCCTGGGCTGAGAACACACGAAACCTGCTCTGCCTGGCCCCCAGCGGCCTGTCCAGTGACACCGCCGCGCGGCCCACGTGCCCCTAGCAGCAGTCCATGCTGAACAGACCTCTGTTCAGGGAGGCACCTTGTTTGCACAGAGCTCCGGGGGTAACACACACACAGTCTTGCAGCCTTACGGGGAGGATATTGCATTAGCACAGAGAGGGGGATACAGGCCCCAGCAGACAGCTGAGGACACGCTGAAGAGAGTAAGGCGCTAGTGAGGAACGAGGAAGACATGATGGCACAGGACACTATCATAGTCATGCCTTGGGTTTGTTTTCTCATTAATACAGATTTCTGAATTAAATCCATTTTTTACATTGGGTAGTGAATTGCTAGGAGGGATCTAGTATAAGGCAGGAGTAGGGTCTAAATCCTGTTGCTGAAAAAAAGGGAGCCTACAGCGTATACTGGCAGCATTTACAGCAGGGCATGCTGAGAAGAGGCTGCTACTCCAACACAGACAAAGTTGCTGTGTTACATCTACCCAGGACTACTGGCCAGTCCCCAGCATCACTTCTCAGGAGGGGCAAAAACAAGCACCAAAGAAAGGCAAGTAAAGACAATAACTAGCCCTGGTACAGCTGACTGCATAGGAGCAAAAATGGAGTGTGAACTGGCACTGGAGAAAGTGTCAGGCAAGTCCTAGAACAGGCACGTAGAGTGTGAAACTGGCTCTAGAGAGGTGGTTCCAGGGGGACTCCAGGATGACTGCTGCTTCTGAACACAGGTAAAATGTCAGGTTAGAGTAAAAGATCAAGGTTCACTTGTTGCATCCTGTGCAGGAGACCTCTCCACCTGCAAATAAGGGTCCTCCTTTCAGGCTGTGCGCGCTGGATGACATTCCAGGGTTCTGTCTTCTGGCCTCTGTTGCAAGTCAGAATATGAGCTCTCTCAAAATGACTGATTCAGCAGGTCACACGAATCCCGGTTTCATTGATGAACGTCGGCAGTTGGGGCAGCCACGGGTCCCATTAGTCTGAAGGCATCTGCAACGGGAAGTGGTCATTTCTCACCGTGCATGCCTACAGAGAGAGGCCCAAGGGGTTCTGATTCATAGACCTGGACTCCTATCCCAGGGGTGGGGAAGGAAGTGGCTTAGGGCCTGTCTACACAAAACCCCTTAGATGGGTTCATACCTCTACTCTCCATTCTTATAGTGAGACTTAGGGAGTCCTACGTGCTATTACTTCCAACAGTCAGGGACAGTAATGTTAAAGATTAGATGGTGGGTGACTCTTTGTAGAGGAGTCATTGATTTTGTATAAACAATAGCAGGACACCATGAGGAAGTACACTCTGTATTTAAGTGATTTGGCATATTCAGACTGCAGAGGACAGTTCTACTCTGGACACTAATGGGGCTTTTCTATTACTCTTGTCCCTTCACAGATCACTCTCTAGCCCCAGCCCTCTCCCATAAATCCCTGCTGAACTCCTGCCTTATTCTATTCCCCCTGCGGGAATCCCTCTTTAACCATCTGCCTCATCTCCTCGCCTCCATTCCTCTCATGTCCCCCACTCTGCCCTATCCCTGGTATTCATTACTTTAAATGGAAGAAATGGGAGCAAGGCAGCGCCTGGAGCTGGTTGTTCTTCTCCCCAATGGACTCTCCACACATGCCGCAGTACAGCTCCATCTCCTCTACACACTCGTGGAACTTCACCACATGGTCACGAAGTTCCCGTTGCTGTCCCTTTGTGCGATAGATCCCTTCACACAGGCAGTGAAGCTTCAGCAGGCCAAGCTGTGCACAGAGGGCAGAGGCATGAGACAGAGGATGGGGCAAGGTGAAGGAGAACCAACAACATGGGGAAAGCACTAGAAGGATGAGGTCTTCTCCAGCCCCTCCAGCCTTCTGGGACACACATGAGCCTCACCACAGAAAACACAAACTTTCCCAGGGGGTCAAGATTTATCCTGTGAGCATCTAGAGGCCCTCCCATCTATCCTTATCCTTTTGTCCCAATGTGCCAATAAAGGGGAACCCAGGTTTGCAGCGCTCCAATCATTCTGCATCTTTTCACGGAGCTGGTTTTCCTAGGAACCTGCACGCCCATAAGTCACCTCTTCTCCTCTCTCTAGGCTCCTAGCCAGTATGCAATTCGTGCACTGTGCTCAGCATATACAGTAACTCCTCACTTAACGTTGTAGTTATGTTCCTGAAAAATGCGACTTTAAGCGAAACAATGCTAAGCGAATTCAATTTCCCCATAAGATTTAATGTAAATGAGGGGGTTAGGTTCCAGGGAAAAAATTTTCACCAGACAAAAGACATATATATATATATATATATATATATATATATATATATACATACACACACACACACACACACACACACACGCAGTGTAAGTTTTAAACAATTTAATACTGGTACACAGTGATGATGATTGTGAAGCTGGGTTGAGGTGAAGGAATCAGAGGGTGGGATATTTTGCAGGGAATGCCTTACTGTTAAATGATGAACTAGCATTTGGCTGAGCCCTCAAGGATTATCTGGTTATTAATGTCGCCTCACTCTACAAGGCAGCAGGCATGGAAGGAGGGGAGAGAGCATAGCAGACAGACACACACCGTGTGTCTGAGAGCGAGAGATGCACATTTCCCCTTTAAGTAGCTGACCCCAGTCTTAAGTACACTGCCGTGTTAATTAGATCAGCTTGCTGAGACCGCAGCTGCTGCCTGGAAGCTCCCTCCAGTCCTGAACCCTGTCGTGTGTACCCCCTGCTCTATGGAAATGGGGTAAGTGGGGTGCAGGAGCAGGGGGAGGGGGACACCTTGACATTAGCCCCCCACGTCCCCCATACAGCAAGCAAGAGTCTCTGGGAGCAGCTCCAAGGCAGAGGGCAGGAGCAGCACATGGCAGTGGGGGAGGGACAGCTCAATGCCAGCAATTGCTAGCCTGCTGGGCAGCTGTAGCACAGGGAACGTAGGGGAGTGGGGAGCTGATGGGGGGCTGCCGGTCCACCCTGATTACAAGCCCCCACCAGCTAGCTCCAATGGGCTGCTCTTCCTGCAAGCAGTGGACAAAGCAGGCGGCTGCCAAACGACGTTAGAAGGGAGCATTATACACTTTAAACAAGCATGTTCCCTAATTGATCAGCAACGTAATAATGAAACAACGTTAACCGGGACGACTAAGTGAGGAGTTACTGTACTAGCAGAGTATCCCGGAGGCTGGCTGGACAGTAAATTAATGCCATGTAGCTATTTGTCAGGGAAAGGATCCCTAGTCCTCCACTTCTCTTCACTACTCTTATTTTCCTGTCTAACAATTTGGCTCTCTCTCCTTCCCACTTGTTTAACCCACTCTGGCTCCCCACTAAACTTTGTAAGGGTCTCTCAGTTGCCATCATCCACCCCACACACTCAGAATGCTCCCCAGGTACTGACTCATACCTGAACTAAAAACAAACTCAGAAATGGTTCACATTCTACACCCAAGACACTCAACCTGAGCCTCGAGGACATATTGGTTAACATGGGCTTATGGAGGATAACAGGAAGCAGTGACAGGTTTCAGAGTAGCAGCCGTGTTAGTCTGTATCCGCAAAAAGAACAGGAGTACTTGTGGCACCTTAGAGACTAACAAATTTATTAGAGCATAAGCTTTCGTGGGCTACAACCCACTTCTTCGGAAGCAGTGTGAGGCTGGAAGATAGAGTGGACACCAAAATCCCCATTAGAGGGCTCTGGACACTGCTGGAGGGGAGCTGTGAACTCTTACCTTGTTCCCCAGTCCCTCTGCCAGCTCTTGGGCCTTCTCAATGCCTTCCAGTGCCTGTAAAGGAGAGAACAGAGACCCCACATATCAGCACATCACCAGTTCTTATGCCAACTATTCAGCACCAGCTCTGCATGGTGAGCAACATGCTGAGAATTGCGTGTGAGGGAGCAGGGCGGATTTGACCTGGGAATGTAGCCTGGGAGTTACATTGAGCTACCTGAGCTGTAACCTGAGCCAGGAAGGGGGGTGGGAAAGGTGACACCTTCTGCCTGGGAGACTGAACAAAGGAGAGGAGGAGCAGAGGGGATGGGGGAGAGAGCTGCTGGAGGAATTTGGGAGGTTTCAGTTTTGGGCTGGGAGGTGCAACGCAGGGAACCCAAGCTGGGGTCTAAGCTCCCTGCACTCCCCAAGAGGACTTGATTGAGGGGTCCTGGTTGTATCTACAAGTTCTGCTGTAGACTGTGTTCCTGGTATCCAATAAACCTTCTGCTTTACTGGCTGGCTGAGAGTCACGGTGAATCACAGGAAGCCGGGGGTACAGGGCCCTGAGTCCCCCACACTCCTCGACAGGAGGTAACGGCATTAGGGTTAATAAAACATTCCTACACTCCAGTAGAAGCAAGAAATCTGTGGTGGGATGTTCACAGTCACAGCATGTCCTCACAAAGCTCAGTGAACTGCCTGCTCACTGAAGGGTCAAAGGGATGCAACAGGGACATTCCTATCCGAGCTGCACATTGAATGGGAAGTCAGAGTGCAGCCTTGACAGAGACTGGTGTCTCCAAAGGGAGAGGTTAGGGTTACCATATTTAAAAAATAAAAAAAGAGGACACTCCACAGGGCCCTGGCCCCGCCCCTTTCCCCACCCCAGCCCCACCCCAACTCTGCCCCTTCCCCGCCCCAACTCCGCCCATTCTCCGCCCCTTCCCCAAAGTCCCCGCCCTAACTCCCCCTCCTCCCTCCCAGCCACGCGAAAAGGGCTGCCCCAGCGCTACCGGCTTCACGGTTTGCCGGGCAGCCCCCAGACCCTGTGCCCCCGGCCGGCGCTTCCCCAGCGCAGCTGGAGCCCGGGAGGGGAAGCGCCCAGCTTCCTCATCTCTTGCATTCCACAAGGAGAACAGATGGGTCCATTCAATGAAATTAATAGCTGATTAATTTAGAACTTATAAAAGGAGAGATTTCACCGACAGCCCTAGTGAGTGGGGAACTCCTGGCTGCAGGGGCCAGAAAGCCTAATACCACACAGGATTTTAAAAAATAATTGACTTATTGAACCTAGATTCTGTACCAATCTAACTAAAATCACTCACCTTTCTTCTGCCTGCTTTACACTGCAGCACAAAACAGGCAGAAAGCCATCTTAACCAGCTGGTTGGGGATTCCCTCAGTGTAGGGGGAATCGCCAAGTGCCACTGGCCCTAAACTCCATACCATATAGTCCAGCTCTAGCAGTTGGGCAAGTTTGGTGGGGGTAGGAACAAAAGTGGGCAAGCATGGCTGCTGTTCTTTGGAGATCCCTAGCTAGCAGAATGGTCTTTTGGGGGCTGTTAGCAGCCAGCACAGATTAGTCCTAAGGCTGTTCTAAATTGTCTTAAGTATCAGAGAGGTAGCCGTGTTAGTCTGTATCCACAAAAACTAGGAGTCCGATGGCACCTTAAAGACTAACAGATTTATTTGGGCATAAACTTTCGTGCGTAAAAAAACCCACTTCTTCGGATGCATGGAGTGAAAATTACAGATACAAGCTTTTTTTTTTTTATGCCTGTATCTGTAATTTTCACTCCATGCATCTGAAGAAGTTGATTTTTTTACCCACAAAAGCTTATGCCCAAATAAATCTGTTAGTCTTCAAGGTGCCACCGGACTCCTCATTGTCTAAATTGTCTTGTAAATGTAAAGCCTACTTTGGCTCCTGTCTCCTCACCTGTGCTCAGCACAGCTTTGCCACAGCCGAGGTTTCAGATTATAGGCAGAGCTGGTAGCATCACATATGATTAAGGTTGCCAGACACTTCCCATTACAAGACCCTCTTTTCATATATTTCTAACTTTGCCAAACTTTGACAGTGTAGGCTGAAGTTTTCCATGCTGGGTGTCTGCCTCAGGCAGACTTTATTGGAAAAATATCAGCCAAAATGATTCTGCCATTTCTGAAAATGAGAGTAGGGAAAAAATAGGTTGTTTTGACCATGTTAAATACTGGTGACCTTTTATTTTAAAAGCTCGAGTGCCCCCATTCTTTCAAGAAGGGTGTGACGCTGTATGCAATATGGGAGACCATTTATAATATTATTGATACCAATATTATAAAATTGCAAGGTATGCCGTGTATCTGCGAAAATATTATAATTTTCCAAATAGGATAATCTTGGTTTATATGTTTGTATCACCTTTGTATTGTGAGTTATAGATATGTATGGTATATCTGTATTTCCAAACTTGTGCTGTGTTTCTGGGTGACACCCCCAGACAGACTGGCATCAGCACTGCCTAGCCTGTATGATGGCACATCAAGGGTCATCAGCTGTACAATGAACTCATTGAAAGGAGCCAGGGGATACACCTTATGAGTCAGCAAGGCACATAGGGGCAGGCCTGTGGACAGAGAACTCTAAGGCTTTGTCTACACTACACAGCTTTTAGCGACATGGCCGAGTCGCTAAAAGTCGGGCAGTGTAAACGCTGTTTGTCGGCACTTTTGCTGACTAAATACTTCCATCCCCTATGAGCAGGGTTCACATTGTCGACAGAAAAGCGCTCCTACGAACAACGAGCTATTTACACTGCCACTTCCCGCGGCAAAACTTTTGTCTTTCGGGGTGTATGTGTGTGTGTTTAAGCACCTGTGAACGACAAAAGTTTTGTCGTTCAATTGGCAGTATAGACAATTTGTCTACACTGGACTTTCATTGGTAAAACTTTTGTCGTTCAGGAACACCCAAATACCAAAAGTTTTACCAACGAAAAGCACCGGGGTGAACAGCACTTTGTCCACTGACAAAGCTACCGCTGCTCGTTGGGGGTGGAAGTTTTTTGTCAGCGGGAGAGCTCTCTCCCCTGACAAAGAGTGGCTACACTGCGCACCTTTTAGCGGCACAGCTGTGTTGCTAAAAGGTCTGTAGTGTAGACATAGACCAAGGCTCTCTCATGCCATGTGCTGTGAAGCTTGTGTTTGGGACACAGGAAGTACAAGCTACATGGCAAAAGAATATAAAAGTCAGCTGCATTAACTTCATTCCTACATCTTACCTCTGGAGTACTTTTCTACAAACTGAAGCTCTGAACAAAGGACTGAATGAGCCATCCAAACTGTGGATATGTTCCAGAGGGACTTTCAAGCCAGCAAATGCACCAGTATTACTAAGAACGTGATATATGGACGTTGAAGTCTCTGTATGTATCTGAGTGCTTTATCAGTTAACAACTCTCTTCCTGCTCTTTCTTTTTTCTTTATAATAAACCTTTAGTTTTAGGCACTAAAGGATTAGCTGGCAGTGTGGTATTTTGGGTAAGATCCAAACTAATATTGACCTGGTAATGTGGCTGACCCTTTGGGGTCAGAAGAACATTTTGTATATGTGAGCAGAGTTTTTAAACAACTTCTCACTATATTGGACCTATGTGCTGATTGGGAACCAGAGAACTGGAATGCAGTAAGGGGGCTGTGTGATTTTTTTTTTTAGCTTCTTGATAACCAGTGGGGGGCGGGGGGGGGGGGGGAGAAGCACAGTTTGTGACTTGTCGGTCAATTTAACGTCAGTGTTAACCACCAGTTTTGGGAGTATCTGCTCTCCCTTTTGCAGCCTGCTCTGACCTTGGCATTTTCAGTGATTGCTGCCCCAGGCTCGGGTCACATAGGGAATTGAAAGTTCGCATGGTGTGATAGCTTTTGTATCAGGGATGTACCTTTTGCCATCCTCCTGAAAATCCACTCAAATTTGGCCACACTATAAGCCTTTGAAAAATTGCAGTTTGTGCACGCTCAGTAGACTTTACATTTTAGCAGCTTAAGTCCCCCAAAATTCCATCCACACTGGGCATGCTCCAGCCCAGGGCAGAGCAGGACATTCCCTGCAATAGAAGCTCTGTGCTGCAGCAGGTCATGTGCGGTACAGATCAAGGCACCTGAACTGAGAGTATGTCTCTCCTTTGCTCTCAGTGCCCACCTTTGCTGGACACAGGGCAGTGTGGAGGAGGAAGCTGCTTGATTTGAATACAGAGGGGCAAGCGGGAGGGCAATGGATTGGGGCAACGAATCTGGTGGGGTTGTGGCAGAAACTGAGACTGAAGGCTGTCAAGAGGGAAGGAGGGAAACGGGCTGGGAGGAAGGGAGAATGAGACTGGCTGAGCATGGATAGTGCGACTGAGAACTAGTGGGCTGAGGGAAGGAGGGGAGTGGAGAAGAGAGAGTATTAATGAGAAGTCAAGATAAAGAGTAGAATTGAGAATGGTTGGTCAGAGAGACTGGGAAAAGGAATAGGGTGTGGGGAAGGACATTGATTAGACAAGGACCCCAGGGAGGGAGATTAAGACTGGGAGCCAGTGAGGGAAGGGGCAACTGGAGGCTAGTGTGGGAGAGAGATCGATCTGGTAAGGAGCCCGGAGTGAGGAATTGGGATTGGCTGGGCAAGGAAACTGGGATTAGGAGTGTGGAGGGGTGGCATTGGAACTTGCTGGGGAGGGAGACTGGCATGAGAAGCCTGAGGGTTAGAGACTGGGAATGTCTAGGTTTAACAGGTTGGACTAACACCTGTCAAGGATGGTCTAGGTTTACTTGATCCTGCCTCAGGCAAGGGGCTGGACTAGATGACTTCTTGAGGTCCCTTCCAGGCCTACATTTTTATGATTCCTGAGTCTCACCATTCCTCTGCTGTCAGCAGAAGTCTGTGACATTCACTGGCGAAATGTCTCATCTCCTCCTATGCTGATCCACAAAGAGGATGGCATCCTACTACTGCTGTCAGTATTCCATTAGTTCAAGTGGCAGAGGGTCTCTGTGTGATGGATCTAAATGTTCCAACCTGCTGATGAACCATGATGGGTGGCAATAAGATGCAACACGATGGAATTCGGGTTTTTTTCAGTTAGGAAATTATACACAAAAAAGTACATTGCAACCTTACTAATGTTGTTTTAAAGTAAAGCACTCATAAGTTAGAAAATGCCAGAATTAACTCGGCCCCCTTTTGCATATGCATTAGATATAGTAGTTGATTACATGATGGCATACTATTTTCTCCACAGAATCCTTGGCTTACTCTGTGCACAGGCTGGGGATGAATCAGGGTTGGATAGTGAAGGAGGCTGTAGTCTGTAGGATCCCTGCTTCATTTGTTTCAGAAGTTGGAAGGTGCGTAGAGAATGAAGCAGGGGGTTGCAGGAAGAGAAAGGAGGGTCTTATGGTTACAGCAGTTGAAAGCTGCCTTAAGGAATTGGATTCTATCCCTGCTTCTGCCACAGAGTTCCTATGTGATCACTTCAACCAAACTTTTTACATATTTTGTCACTAGTTGCATGTTCTTCATTTTCTGAGTGCCTGACTTGAGATCCTGGGGTCTAAGTTGCAAAAGTGCTGAGTGCTCACAACTGGAACTGAAGTCAATGAGAGCTGTGCTTTGAATATATGAAGTGCTATATAATGCTAAGTACGCTAAAAAAATTAGGTCTTGGCTAACTCAGATGGAGCACCCAACATTAATACTTTTACTTTAATCTCTCTGTGCCTCAGTTCACCATCTGTAAAATGATGGTAATAATACCCCCTCGTTTCATAGGAGTTGTGAAAATAAGTTAATGTTTGTGAAGCACTCAGATACTGTAGTGATTAACATCACAGAAAAATCTATAAGGAAACGAATAATTCTGTCTTCAGAGCAGGTTTTGGATGATGTGCAGTAAATAAGGCCTGGGGCCAAACAGTGAACAATGAAGAGAAACAAAATACTGAATAAAGCAACAGAGGGTCCTGTGGCACCTTTGAGACTAACAGAAGTATTGGGAGCATAAGCTTTCGTGGGTAAGAACCTCACTTC